TTACTTCCACGTTACACAACCCAAAAAATTAAGTCTATTCTATTTAATTCTATTTTGCATTTTGGAAGTCATCCAATAAATGAAATATACGAGTATTTATATAAAAGACTATCTGCTGTGTTCATATCTCTAGTGCTATCTTGAAGTTACCATTGATTAACCAAAAATGTATATGATTATTACATAGTCACTAATTTAGTCTTTTTCTAATAAATGTTAAGTGTTCTTAACTCTCTTTACTTTAAACTAAATTTTAAGTATTTCTCAGACGTACTAAATTAGACTTGTGATGTAATATCCTTATAGTTCTTACTATGACATTTATTGTTAAGCTTATATCACAAATGGTATCAACATGCATAAACCTTTGTTAGCTCTAATATGGCTATAGCGTTGCTAGGTCACCACAGCATAGTTAAAGTCTTAAATCTGAGGATTTTACCTTCTTACAACTCATTTTGTGCATAATCACATATCATCAGTCGGGTTGTAATTTTATAGCTATTGTCCTGATTGAAACATTTTTATATACTTAGTTACGGCTATAGTTAAACTTAAGCAAAGCTTCTGGATCAAAACCCAGTGGTTTTTATCACCCCCAGCTAATGTTATCCCAGTCAATTTTCTTTTTCACTGCCGCTTTTGAAGTAAGCTTTTTTTTTGGGAACATGAACATATTTTTTGTACGCAGTGTACGATTTTTTTTTTTTTTTTTTTTTTTTTTTTTTTTTTTTTTTTTTTTACATTTGAACTGATAATTTCTGAAAATAGTGTAAATACACTACTTTTTGATTATTGTTTATTATTCCAGAATCCAATAACACTTGATACGTTATTATTATTGCTGTTAGTAATGACCGAAGGCTTCTTTGCACCGTTCGTCACAGAAGGACTATAAACTGATATAGGGCTTAACGGTGTCCATTCGCTATCAGATTGAATTGAGCTAGGAAATTTCAAACTACTACCCCCTGCCACTAAAAAGATACATTGTCACTACCCGTGTTTTCGAAATACAATAAGTGATACTTACTTATAAAATCTTCTTCTTCTAAAAATGGATTCATGCCAGTGGATCGACTTTTATCAGCTTTTGGGAGTTCTAATCAAGGGGATTTAGCAGTTATTTTTAAATTTTGTCATTATGCATTTTTATTACCTGTGCCATCTTCCCACCATTTATTTGAATCAGTGCTCGGAGAAGGAACTACAGAAAAGGAAAGGTGATGGTGTTAATGGTTAGTAATATGATTTTCTTAAGAAAATACAACTCACATCCACTTGAATCAATCGAAATGTCCACAAGTGTATCTGCATATGAATCGGATAACTTCATTGAGGAACTACTAGTAGCAATTGGTTCACTGACCGTCATAGCTGATTTGGTGGAAATCGGTGCTGTAAGCTTGCGTTTCGGTAAGTCTGGTGGCGGTAATGCGCGAACTTCAATTGAACTTAGGCTTTGGTATAATTCTTTCTGCAACTTTACTTTAGCTTCCTTGTCCAAAGTGATAACATTTGCCTCAAACAATGCAAGGACCGGTCGATGATCCGACGTATATAATTCCGCGCGCGAATACTGAAGCTGCTTTAAATGTTTGCCTTTAAATAAAATACGATCTGTCCAACCAGGAATTCTCTGCTTTTCACTATTGACAGACACGCATATTTTCAGCTTGGATTCGTGTTTTGTGTACATGCATTTAAATTACCTTGAATCATACACGTCTGTTCCATTATCATATTTGTATGTTGGCAAAAATGTGATTATACCTTCTTTGTATCCTTCGAATACTCTGTGTTGACGCATTTCTCTTGTGAGCTATTGTATATTTTAATTGCATGATAAAACGCAAGATTGTTTCCATTTACCTGATCGTTCTTCAATAATGCATCGATATTACCATCCTTTGCATACAGTCGTGCCTACAGTATTTTTAGGTATAACTTCTCTCGTGCATCCAACCATTAAACGTACCTCTTCGTTGGGTAAGGATACTCGATAATTTAAATCACTGACCCAGATAACATTACTACATCAAATAATGTTAAAAGATGCGACAAGAAAAAAAGTCCATGGTACACTTACTCATGGCCACCAATTGTCTTTCCTCGCAAAAAACGAAGTCCCTCGTCGATGGTGTGAAAGTCTGCATTCCGATCATCAACATTTGAGTGCCCTACATGCAGAAAATAAGCAACAGAATTTTTTGATAAAAGTACATTCCCAATTTAGCTACCTGAGGCAAGATGAGCTGCAACAAAACAGAAACTTGTATCACCGTAATCCATTCGGATGGCTACTGCACCTTTGTTACCAGCAATACCCATGATTCCAGTCTATTTTTTTTCTTGTAAGTTGGGCTGTTATCTATTATGTTCCTTGTCTATATACAATTTACCTTTTTGATGGCAGTTTCGACATTCCTAATTTCTTCTACAATATTGGATTTAGCAAAAATGATAAGAGCTGCGCCTACTAGCTGGTTTGATCTTAATAAGGTATATTTGAATTTCCCTTCTGGTCTACTATTCAATGTGGACTCGATTTGTTGCTCCCAGATTTTTCTCTTGTCCGCATCTGTCGCCATCACCTGCTGTGGCGACAATTCAACTATTTCTTGGAACCCTACAACGTAAATATCGGGCTCTTCTTTATTACCCACTATACAAATAGAGTCAGAATCAAATTTGGTCACTTGTTGGGTGTTTCCTTACATTTAAAATGTTGAAGCAACCAAGGATCCAAAAGCTCGCCTTTAAAGCCTTTACCGTTCAAATTATAGGTCCCGCTAAATATAGTAATTTTCCGGTTGGTAGAGTATTCTTTCATACGCGTCGATAGTTGGCGGGTGACTGTATCGCTGATAGGATCATAAATTGTAATGGCTGCTTGATTTTCTAGCTTGCCTAATAGCTGATCAATGACTTCCTGCCGTGCTTTGTCTTGAAAATTGTTGATATAAAATCGATTGACAGATCGTGTAGCATCACTTAACACATTCATAAAGGTGACCTTGCCTGTTCGTGTAAAGGCGGATTTTAATGCACCTGTACCTGCATATATTTTTGAAAGTCCATCACCATTTTCTGCCCAAAGATGGGAATGTCGAGCCACAAAATGCTCCAGATTAATATTCGAGCGACTGTCTCTAAATCTATCTTGTAAATAATCGAGTAAGGCTCTTCTAGAAATTTCGTTTTGGACAAGATTGGTACGATCCAAACAATCCATACAATTGGTACGAAATACTCCTTTTTGTTTGCAGATGATTTGATTGTCATCGCTGTCCATGAGGAAAAATCCATAATCATCCATGACCCTTCGAATGTTCTTCATCAGAACTGCTACATTATCGTAATTTCCTCCTCTACACTCGGCGTGCAAATCAAAATTAACCATGCGCACGGTATCCTTGTTATAATCTAACTGGTTTACGGCCGTGTTGAATGCATTACTGAGTACAGATTCTCCTGCTGTAGCCTCCTTTTGGGATAACAAGTTGATGTTGCATACACAATTATAGCGATCTACTAACTCGTCAAAATGTCTTTTGACGGCTGGTTGTGTGGCTGCCTGTCCACGAGAGATCTGGATTTTATGTTGAACAAGTTGCATTCCTTGTTGCTCCCAAAATACTAGTGATATGATTAGTAAAACTGCAGTATATAATATATATAGATATGCATATATGTTGCTCACCTGGAACACTTCCTCTAATTTGAGTATATGAATAACATATCCTATCGGAATAGAGTATGGTTTCAGTTTCGACAAAATTGGCGACATGTCCATTATCATCTATTCCTCTTGTATTAAAACGAGTACCGGCACGTTGACAGCTAAGTTTAGAAATGACAGAGAGTTCGTACTTTTCGTTGTCTATATCGACAACTTCAACACCCACGTATCCGCGTATGGAAAACACTAAAAATCCGCCACGGTCAAGATCCATTTGTTTCTTTCTTTCTAATTTAGATCTAAAATCCAGCAACCCGGATATCAAAAATTGGTTCCATAAAAAATGCTGATCAAAAGAATGAACACCTAATGAGGCTACCGACGTACTAAAGACATAATGACGTCAGTGAATTAAGAGAGATATTTGTTTTTTTTACGTCTGTTTATGACATACCGAGCTTGCACTGTTTTTGTTAAATCAAAATCAGGTGTAAAATAAAAGTTGCCAATAGAAAATAATTTCTGTAATTGAGCGCACGGATGTTGTATGACAGTGCCAGTTTGGTCTCCCCAATTGTCGTCATTTTCAAAATCTTTACCGGGAAAATCCACAAGGTCGTCATATCTGGCAGAGGAGAGTGAATAAAATGAGACTGACTGAATTTTGTACACTTCTTCTCCAGCTCGTATTCTTCCGACTGAAACACAGTCTGTTACAATTGCAACAAAGCACTCTAAACGTTATTGGTTTCATGAGTCTAATCTATTGCCAGCACTTTTGTAAAATACTTTACCAGATTGAATGGTTATCAAACCCAAGCACCCAAAAACTGGACGCGAGTTCAATATACGCCATTTGGAATCTTCGAATTCTGAAGGTGCAAAAAGTTTAGCCATAGCTCTGTTATTAGAGCCAGCATATTCTTCAAAAACAAGTACACCGGAGGGTGCTTCTTCTAGTACCGTTGGGCGTAAAGCCAGTGCTCTAGGTGACTCTCTCAGCAATAAATGAGTTTGCATGGATACAAATGTATTAATGGAGAGAAAAAGGAAATAATTGTATTCTTGCTGATAGACTTAGTTTTTAAAAGTCCCTTTGGAAACCCTTTTCTTGTTTAAAACTCAAACTTTATGATTCTTATTTTTTTTCTTTTCAAGTACACTTTCCCTTCTTTTGTTTTTTATAATGTTAAAGATTGCACCATCTATACATTTCACTTATTTTATTAACGGGTTAAAACAGGCATTTAATTGGCCTCGTGTCATACACCTCATCACGACGTAACTATTTTTGCTGGCGTGTTATACTCTTTCCAAAGTATTCATTACCCATTTAGATCAAAAACAGTTCAATACACGCTCTTAAAAAGTATAGCATTAAACGGTGTAGCCTATTTGGGTATCCTTGTCTTGTTAGAGACTTTTTATAACACACCAGATCACCATTTATTCGGCTATTCATACACAGTAGGTGCTCTAATATGCACAACGTGTTGAGCAATGCATGTTAAATCCCTCCCCCTCCCCCTTTCTTTTTTCTTTTTAGGATTTGACAGGCTATCCACTATATTTGATATGTCTCGTATTCAATTCCAAGTTTTATGCCCAAATTGCACAAGGTCAACATCAACAACGCACTTCCGATAATTTGGATATTGTCACAACAGTCAATACCATTATATTGTATGGCAATTTCGCGTTATTTATCAGTCTATTAAAAAGTATACCTTATATTGGCGCTGTAGTTTCTTTTTCCATCTACTGCATTATCATGACATATTATTGCTTTGAGTAAGTGAAGATTCCAAAAAAAAAAAAAATTGTATATATCAACAAGGTTTTTTTTAACACAACTTAGGTACCGATGGGTTAACCAAGATTGGACAATTGAGCAAAGAATGGTTTATGCAGAACAGCATTGGGCTTATTATTTAGGGTTCGGTTTACCGGCTACAGTTATTACATTCTTTTTATCCACCTTGAGAGCAGGCGGTGTATACGCATTAGTATATCCAAGTGTAGGTCGACAATAACTCTTTTCAAAATAACTAGAATCTTAAAACTTGACTTTTAATTGCAGTTTATTATGATGGCTTCAGTAGCTGCGCCTGAACCCACCGCCGAAGTTCCATACTCCTCTCTTGAATTTGCTTTGCCGTTCCAAATTCCTGTGTTTTTAGGCGTTCGATTTATGAATAAGTGTATTATTCAAGTGATACGTACCGTGGGTGGATCTAGGGGAGAAACGCTTGTCGTAGACAAGCACAAGGACAATCTAGGCAAACTTGTGTAATAAAAAAAGAATTTGGACTGCTCTTTCGGGAATAACAGTCCTATTCCGTACCAAAGCAGTTTTTTTTTGGGTAATAAAATTTTCTTTTTTTCTTTCTGATATTAATACAATGCCTCGTGAAGAAAGAAAAGGACGTGCCAATAAGAAGAGAGGAAAGAAGGGAGGAAAGAAGGAGGAAGATACCCCAGCAGCCATTTCTATCACTCCTGGAGAAGAATCTGCTGTACAAAAGACTTCAACTCCCGTTACACATGACGGTCCAGCAGGAATCGTATTCAACGATCAACATTTCCAAGCTGCTCATTTCGGTGAAGTAGACGAAGAAATTCTTGGTTACTTCAAAAACGTGGAACAAACTTTAGACGATCCTCATTTTGAATCTGGCGAAGGTATAAAAACGAGGCTGTTCAGACTTTAATTGACATAAACTAACTTTTTTTCCTGTTGTAGATCAAAGACTTTTTGTTGAGAATGTATATACTGAAGTTGACGGTAATGAATTCCGTCTCTCCACCAATTACTCTTGTTCTTTAATTCTGGAAAAATTGCTGAAAGTGTCTGATAGCTTTCAACTTCGTGTGTTTATGGATAAACTGAGTGGAAAATCCGTCGAATTATTTGCTCATCGTTTCGCTTCTCACGTCTGTCAAACTTTATTGACTTTGGCTGCTGATGTTGTTGAACGTGAACAATTAGAAGGTGTTTCTGACCCTTCTCCTACAAAGGATGGTGAAGGAGAGCTTTTATCAATGGAAAAATTGATTCTCGGTGTCTGCGAAGATATCAAGCCTCATGTCGGTGGTCTTATCTCTCAACAATTTGCTTCTCATGACATTCGTATTTTACTCTACGTATTGGCTGGTAAGAGAATTGATGAATCTAACGATGTGAAGGGTACTTTAAGAAGTAAGAAGTCTACTGCTTATAAAAAGGAAAACAACGATACTTTCACAAGATCAAATGTTCGTTTATCCGCTACCAGAAAGGTGCCTGATTCCTTCAAGGCTATGTTTAGAACCCTTACTACCGAATTAGCTATCAATATGTCCGAAACTGAAGTCCGTACATTATCTGTTCACAAGGTTGCTAACCCAGTTCTTCAGGTAATAATTTAATTGACGATGTCATGATTTAATGTACTATAACTCATGAATTTTCTTACAATAGCTTTTATTGGAAATGCAAGAGGATGATAAAGAGGGACAAAAGGCAAAGAATATTCTCATCGATCGTATTTTATGGGGTATAGTCACTGATATTGACTCCAAGGAAGAAAATAAGGATAGAGATGCTTGGTTTGAAACTATGATTCGTGATCCTGTCGGTTCTCATCTTTTGGAAGTCATTGTTAAATGTGCTCCTGATGCTATTTTCAGAAAGATCTTCAAGACCTACTTGAAGGGAAAGCTTGAAAAGTTCAGTATGCATCCTATTTCCAACTTTGTTATTCAGCATTTAATCACCAACGTCAGAAAGACAAAACAATTAGACCAAATGATGAGTGAATTGGGTAAATCTTTTGAAAAATTGCTCAAGTTTGGTAAATATGGTGTCATCAGAAGTTTGGTCGATGCTTCGATTAAGTTAGAGACTTCTCAAAAGGAAGTTGTTGATGCTATCGCTGCTGCCTTACATATGCCTGAAGGTGCCGATCGCAAAGAGTTCGTCAACTGTTGTATGCGTATGTGGACAATTGAGCAATGGAATGAGGCTACGCAAGATGAAAAGATGGACCTTTACAAGTTCCATTTACAAGGTTCTTTGATCGTTCAAGGTATCATGAAGATGCAACCTGAAGTGAATGCTGTGGTTGTGAACAGTTTCTTATCTCAAAAGCCTGAAGTTGTGCATCGATGGTGTTTCTCTCCTGCTGGTTCCAGAGCTTTCGAATCCATTATTGCCTCCCCCAATGTTAACGCCAAGATGAAGAAGAAGATTATGCGTGATTTGTCAGGCAAATACACTACGCTTGCCAAAGATAAATTTGGTAGTCATATTCTCGATAAATGTTGGGCTGCTGCTGATATCGATACCAAGGAAAAGATTGCTGCTGAATTAGTCAAGCATGAACACGAGTTAGCCAGTCATTATATCGGTAAAAGTATTCTCTGGACTTGTAAGATTGATCAATACAAGAGAAGACATGACGAATGGATTGAAAGAGAGAAGGGCGCTGAGCGTAAGCGCGAAATGTTTAGAGAGATTCTTGATGATTCACCTTTAGAGAAGAAACCCAAGTTTGCATAAAGGAGAAGAAATTATATATAACGTGTGTACTATTGAATAAAATGATTTTTTTACTGTAAAAATTGGATATGATCAAGCATCATGTGTGGTATTTCATAACAGTGTAACACCTAATACGCATAAACTAGATGAAAAGACACAAATTGTTTATGATTTTCAACTGCCAACAGATGAATAGTATTCCATATGCTGGCAAACCCTTACCTCCACAGAAACAATGGCATCAATTGGTTGAAGGACGTGTTTCTTTATCAGTTTAAAAGTGTTATTATGAAGGAGTTTGTACTATAATGTAAATGGCTAAACAGGTTAGACGAGAGTAAATATATGGTACAAGGTAAAATAGAGATAAGTCTGTTCTTTTGATTGATGCATCTACTGTTCGATAATGGATGGCTTTGTCAAATTCAAAGAGCTCTTCATGCCAAGACATTGTAAAATGTTCAAGACATTACACAGTATTGAAGACATGCTTATGTGGGAGTCTACTGTGGAAAGTCTGTTGAACTGGACTGACAGTTGATGTAGTCAATAAAAAAACGTGTTTGTTCACAATCACAGTTTTCTGATTAGCACGAGCAGAGTTTAAAATCACATGCGGATTTTCAATCAAGGCAATCACATGGGGGAAGTACATAAGCACAGACAAAGTTGGGATTCGATTATTTATTAAAAGAGCATCATTTTTTTCACATGAAAATGAAGGAAAAGGGACTATAAAAGTAACTTTATTTTATCCACTCTCTTTTCTTTCTTTTTTTATCTACATTCTTCTACCTGAATAAAATATAATAAAATGCCTGCCTGGACCATTGCTGTATGTATATCATATTACTAAACTGGTATCATCATCATTTACTGATGCCCCTCATCTAGATCCCTGAAACCCCCTCTGCCACCTATGTTATTGTCAAGAACATCTCTGCCCAATCTTCAGAGAAGACTGGTAAATACATTTTATAAATTATACAAATATAAATTTGTCTAACGAGTTTTATAGTTAGAGAATTCTTTTTGTTCTGTGGTAAGATCACCGAGTTTGAATTGGTTGCGTAAGTTGTCAAGTATGAAACACATGGGCGGATCAATTACTAACTGTTTGTTGTTTCAAGTGATGACGATGAAGAACACCAAGTTGCCTTGATCCACTTTGAACGTGAGTCTGCTGCCAAGACCGCTACTCTTTTAAGCAATGGTGAGTACTAGCATTTTGTATTTATTTGTGTGTGTGTGTGTGCAAGCAGAAACTAACAGGTTGGATAGCCTTGATTGATGAATGCCATATCGTTGCTGCTCCTTATTTCGAAACTGCTACTGTAAATGAAGAGAAGGAAGTTGCTGAAAACGAAGCCAACACAACTACCCAGGAATCCAAGGCCAAGTCTAGAATTGTTGCGGAAATCTTGGCCAATGGTTACATCCTTCAAGATCAAGTCGTTGCTAAGGGTCTTGAATATGATTCTAAATACAGTTTCTCTACTCGTTTGACTGGTTACTTTACTACCCTTACTTCTAACGTCAAGTCTATTGATGAAAAGTATCGTATTTGGGACAAGGCTGTTGAAATTGACCACAAGTATAAGATCCAGGAAAAGGTCCAAAATGCCGCTGCTACTGCTCAAACTACCGCTACCGCCGCTCTTCAATCTCCTACCGGTCAAAAGGTTGAACGTATTGCCAGCCAAACTTTTGCTCAAATTGCCGCTGTTCACTTTGAAGCTAAAAAGATCCAAACTGAAAAGGCCGCACCTGTCGCTGTCGCCTAATTCTTTTCTTTATTTACATTTACCCCCCTTTTTTATACAACTCATCACTACCCATCTTCATATCTTCTTCAATAAATAAAAAAAAACGACTATTTTTAAACTAATTCTCCATGACAAATATATATCAGCGCTTGTCAAATTTGACCTTGACAACAAATGCCTAAAAAGTCAAATTACATAATGATCATTAGCCAATGAATTTTGTTCAAGTTTATTATAATAATTTTGTTTTTTTTTTTTTTTTCTGTTATGGACCAAATTTGACTGAAGATGCACAAGAAGTGGACAATGGTCTCTTCTGAGCGTATGAAAAGTGAACGTTTTCAAATGTCTTGTACTCATCCGCTTCTCTCCAGCAGGTTTGCAACCGTTCATGGTATTCAGAAGTAGAAATACCCCATGATTCAGATAATAAAGGACGAAGTGCTTGGTAATAGGCTTTCCAAGATTGCATAGTTAATTGTCCAAGCTATAAAATTAGGTCAGTCAAACCAGTAAAGCATTACATCCCAAATATGATACACTTACTTTTCCTGCCCATTGTCCTCCTGGACAAGAAACAAACATGGAAGATACTTGCATCAATTCACCCGTATTTAACAATCGTTCCTTTAATGTTCTGCCAATGTGTGGATCTTGATCGTTTTCCTTCATAAGATGGATTAATTGTTCATTGAACTCATGCGTACTAGGTCCGGGGCGGTGAATCTCGACATCGCCTTCTACCCATTCAATCCAACCATTGGGTTTTAAGATTCGGATTAACTCAGCTAATATATTGGACCATTTATCGGATTCAACACCTTGACCCATAAATCTATTCAATGTGTTTAGCCACAAATAATCACGTGCAAGATTTTTTTTTTTTTTTTTTTTTTTTTTTTTTTAGCTTTGTATATATATATATATATATATATATTTTACCTCATGAACACATAATCAAACGTGTTATCTTCAAAAGGTAATGGATTCAAGATATTGCATTGATAAAAAGCACAGTTTGTTGGCTTGATTTCTTTCGGATAGATAGGTGTAATGTCCACACCAATCACGGTTGATTTAGGGTACTCACCCGCAATTTCCATTGCCCAAGAACCAGGACCACAACCAACATCCAATACACGACCTCCTTTTCTTAGGACTTCGCTGACAGGTGCCAAATAGTTTCTATTTCGGTTTTTTTTTTTTTTTTTTTTTTTTTTAGACTTTCTTTTTGAATTTTTTACAGCAAAATAAAATGTTACCCTTGAATAGCAAATCGAATCATGAAATGCTGTAGATGCAGACGATCAATTTCTTCATCATCGCAAGGTAGCAAATAGTTTGAACCAGTGACTTGATGATATTTTCGTTTACCCTGCAACTTATACGAATTTACTTGCTGCTGTTGCGTTAACAACTTGAGTTGAGTATAATTTAAACTGTTTCTATTGCTGTTGGTTAACCGTCGAGAAGACATATCTAAACTCTGTCTAGAGAAGGATTCATTATCGTAAGGAAGCTGCTGACATGGTCTTTTGTCAATAGACTTGATGGAAGGAGGTGCTAATGGGTGAATGTAATGAGGTTGTTGCGAATTAAATGAGGAGGAGGACGAGTTCGTGTTGGTATTATTAGGTGAATTATTATTATTATTATTAGTACTTGTTAAATTAAGGGTATTATTAGGGATTGATGTTGTTGCTGCAGCTGCAGTTGATGGCGTTGATGTATCAATACAACTGTTATTCCGAGGTAAACTATTTTTGTTATGCCTGTTGAAAAATCGTGAAAATGCCTTCCTGTGGTTAATATTTAAGGAAGTAACGGCCGCTGGTGATGATTGCTTTCTTGGTTTGATACGGTTATGATCGTTGGCTATTGTTGGTAAAGGGTATTGACGTTTATAAGGCTCGTCTTTTTTGTTGGTGTGCCACTGGCGCATGTTGTCAAGACAAGGATCATCATTGATTGTTGCAGATGAACTACTTCGATCTAATCGCGAAGTCTGATTACCCATGAAAGAAATTAAATCACAAAAAAAAAAAGGAAAAAAAAAGAGAGAGGGAAAACGTAGTCCTTTCAAAGTTACATATGAAGTTAATTTAGTTATTTAAGCCAGACATCTATTGGTACAACATCAAAGTGACTTTATTTGGAACTTTCATTTCGATAATCTATTCCGCTTTACCAAACTGATAAATAAACTGCTGGGCAAATAATTATTTTAGAGTTTTGTTATGAGTAGCAGCTATTTGTAATGCGGATAAAGTAGACAAAAATCGAGTCAAATATTTTGAATAATCTAAAATAGGTAAACATCCCTTCAGCCCAATGTGACAATCCATAATATCTAGTGTGTCACTGATAAACCACGAATCATGAGTTTGTTACACCCTTAACTTGTATCCTGGTAATCCCAAACTCGCTGCTCCAAGATATTAGTGATAACGACCAGCGTGGCATGTCTCAATTAAGCCGTCTACACGAGTCAATTCGATGTCATGTATTACATTCCGTTCGTATAACGCTGATTCTAGTGATTATTAATAGAGTGGGGGGTGAGTTTATGTGAGGCTGAATTCCGTCTTAAGTAAACTATTATTTTTCCCACCATATAAAAAAATACAAGGTACACAAGACATCAAGTAATTTGAAACATAAAAACTTTATTTCCCACCACATTCCTATACATCCATATTTGATGTGCTACATATCGAAGCAAGTTCAGAAGAGAGCACAATCAATTCGGGCATTTAGCCAGGCACAACATTGGTACAACAACAACAGCCCTGCCAGTTAAGACACCGCGAGCTTATCATCAACTCCGCGTGCACAACCAAAAAAATTTTCATTTTCATTATTTGATAAATTCAGCTTTTAATCAGAAAGGTGTTTCCACCAGGGCGCTCTATAATCAACTGACGTGTTCATCCGAATACCCGTTTTCATCATCTGAAAAATATAAATGTTGCAGTGCCGTAGCATCTGCGAACAGATCATTTTCCTACTGATTGGTAAAGAAACAACACATTTGCAAACTTAATTTGCGCTTTTATACTTTTTTCGGAGGCTAAAAAATATTTTAAAAAAAATTATTACATAGTCACAGGACTGTCGAAATTTAACAAAGCCAAATTGGTTTATAAATTTTTGAGGGACTCTTATCCAATCATAGAAGTTGAAACTCATATCAAAACTGTAGATCATAAAGAAACAAGTTACTGAATTTACATATTTTGCACATCCATGTCCTTTATCGATGTTACGTTTACTTATGACGATAGCTTCTTATGAAGAATTGAGGTATGCATAGTGCAAACATATGATCGGATACTTTGGCTGCTCCAAGAGCCTATTATACTTTATCGCCTTTCAGTATATACAAAAATATCACTATTTACGCAGTAGGTACTGTCTAGACGTGTAATATACTTACTTATAAAGTCTCGTTTAATCTTTCTTTGATATTCTTGCACAAAGTTTTAATTAAACGAGCCTAAAAGGGTAAGCGAGTGACAATTGAATTCAGTTTTTCACTACGATTTTATCCGTAACTATTTATTATTAAAATCGTTGTTTGCTGTATATTCTAGTTTCCAAATCTCTAGAACAACCAAGAGTCTCAATCTTACAATGTGACTATGCGCGTCTTTACCTGTCTTTAAAGAAAAAATAGTTATTCCTGAGAGACTAGTTAGTGCACGACTTGTTAGGTATTTATTACCATTCTCACATTTTTATGTCCATTATCAGAAACAGTTTTAAAAAACCATCATTTTTACAGAGGCTAATTGTTGTAATTTCTTAAATGTCTTTTGAATACTTTTAGTGCACTCTATAGGTTTTATTGAGATAAATTGCTTCGTGTCGATAAATAATAACTGCGATAAATGGATGATGAAGCGTCATCTACTTCGATTGGTAAACTGAAAGACTAAATATGTATTTTCTTTTGAAATACGGTTTCTGATATGTGTCTGGCTTCTTAACTTTTGTTTAATTTGCTGACAATTTGTCACATACTAGGCCTTTAGAAAATACGGCAAGTCTTCACTTTGTTTTTGAATAGCAAAATATAAATCAAAGAGAGTTTAAGGCAAATATAAATTTGACATTGTAGAAGCAAGATAACGTTACTTTGACACAATGTTAGAAGCTTGTCGATATAGTTTTGACAAATGAAGGATCTGCTGGTGCTTTGTACTTAATCAACATCCTTTTCCCATGAAGATCAAACTTTGGATAATAGCCATTAGATTATCATAAAAAAAGGTTACCCTCTCAGTATCATCAAACGCTTTCTGTTAGAAGTCCGGATATTTACTGTTTGTGCTCGATCATACATGGGTTCACTTCTAGATAAGGACTTAAAATCAAAAAGTAAATGATTGTTTATTTTTAGAGTTTATTTGAATATATTTTTTCAGAATTGTATCTGGCAAGAGTGCTGAAAGGTAAGCATATAAATGTCTTTTATCGTCACATTTATGGTCCGCGTAAGTAAAAGCATAAATTCATAATAGTGGAAAGGGAAGTATATTCCCTTCTGTTTTCCATTTATACCAAAGTAAAACTAATGAATATTATTATTAGTATGTCAGAACAACATGCATGGGCAAAAAAAAACCTTATTTGAATTCTAGTCAAGAAGTGATGACTTTTTGTAAGGAAATGATAGTACCGGAAATATGTTTTCCCTGCCCCGGACAAATTTGATTTGACCGGACAGAATAAATGGTACGCCAAAGTATGGTGCGCGTATAATCACATAGTTTGAATGTCAAACCTCTGGCAATGTTATGTACCTTTCTTAGTGTAAGTGTGAATGGGTACCGAAGCCTGAAGTTCGAAATATATATAGGCACTAAAGTTTTAAGTTACTATGCTCAGCTTTAAAATGGGTGAGATATGTTATGAGAGCCCACGTTTGATACGACGATTGACTTTTAGACGTTATTTATAAATAACGTGGCAAACGCGCCTTTTTTTTTTTTTTTTTTTTTTTTTTTTTTTTGCATGAATTATGGAGTTGATAAAACACAGTTATAAGCCCAAGTGCTTGCATTTTACTCATAAGGTCGTATTTTTTTCAGGGCCGCAACGTTTAATATACCGTATTTACTATCCCCCCAAACATTTTGACAGCTTTGTACTCTATTTTTCTTTCTCTGACTACTGACTACAGGCCGTAAAATAAAAAAGGTTATATTCAATTTATTAAATAAAAAGGTTTCATTACAAAAACGGCCCGGGTTTTTCTATTAATTTTTTATGTCGGATAAAAACGAATGGCTCGAGATTTACTCTTGTTCGACAGAAAGGTTGACTTCAGGGTTGAAGAAGAGAGATTCCTTACCCCAGAAGAAAGATCTGGCACGGAAGTTAATGTAAGGATACAAGATCCATTCCTTAGGGTGGTGCTTTTGGTGTTCGTGATGTGCTTCATAAAGGTTATAAGCGTTGAAACTAGCAGCGGCAAGACTATATATATATATTAAAGAAGAATTAATAAAAAAAAAACGTTCAGGAAACGAGTCAATGTCATCAATTACCAAGGAATGGTAACAAAGATGGAGATCTTCTTCCAAGTACCAGCGGCCTCTGTACGTAAAAAAACAGGTTTAGTTGTGAGTGTGCATTGTTATTGTATGTTAAAATTACCAGCAGCGTGGTGCTTGATGGCATCACGTTGAGCAGTGAAACCACCATCAACGGCAGTGGATTGATAACGAACACCAGCACGCTTGATGGAGGCAACGACTTGAGAGTTGAGGATACGAGAGGCCATTTTGTTTAAAAAGTTAGTGTAAATATAAAGAAGCTTGTTATTTACCCCCCACAGAAAAATCCATAAGGCCACTTTTTTTTTTTTCCTTCCACCCCCGGCTTAGTCACGTGTTTGATTTTTCATGGGATTTGTCGGCCTGAAAAAAAAAGTGACGACATTAATAATACCATCGAATATTTTTTTTTTGGATAGCAAAACGTCTTTCTTTCTTGAACCTCCCGTTTCCCATATCAATGTTTTGATCTATGATAATGATTACCATGTTTACTAAAAACCAACCAACCAAAACTGGCATCTGTCAGACGGCCCTGGATGTGTATTTATTTGTACACAAACGATAAATATCTAAAATAGGACGCTTGCTTTGTTTTTGGATTCGTTCACCTTTAATGATAGACTAATGAAATTATTTAAGCTCCATTTTTTTTTTTCTTTTGGTTGCCACCGAGTAGTAATATTTCAGGGAAAAGAGACTTCTCTGGCTTTTTCTTTATATCCACTGTTTCATGTGCCCCCTTAGCATATGTACAGTAGACAGGACTTTCTCACATGTTAAATGTAGCGGGTCTCTTAGGGACAGCCAAATTTTCTTAGGGACAGCCAAATTTTCTTAGGGACAGCCATTTTTCTTAGGGACAGCCATTTTTCTTAGGGACAGCCATTTTTCTTAGGGACAGCCAGGGTGCGCGTAGTCGTAATGTTGGGATTATGATACTTTTATAGACATCAAGAGGTCAATACAACTTAACAGCTTGAAATATATACACATTTATTACAACGAACATAGTTTAAACCAGTATATGTATTTTAAAGCTAACTTTCAGCTTCTCGTTTGGACTTAACATTAATATTTCTGCGTAAGATTTAATTCAAACGAGCTCAAAGGCGAAAGAGTGATAATAGAATTGTCAAAATAAGTATAAATCGTTTGATGTATATTTATTTGTAATTTTTACATTGTTTTTGATTGTATATCCTTGTTCCCATGTCTACAGAACATCCAAACTATAGATCTTACGTTGCGACTACGTGCACTATGGCTGTCCCTAAGGAAAAATTGGCTGTCCCTAAGAAAAGCGTAAATGTAGTCTGAGTGCCCTTTTAATTTGTCCCCATATCAAAAGGCCTGATTTTAATGTCCTCTGACTTGAAAATAATTCAGCCAATTCAATGGTAAGCTCTTTTCAACCATCAACTAAATGTATAACGCAATCTCCTTTTTATTTTTGTCAAAATTACTTACGCATAATTTTTCCCGCTGCTTGAAAAATCAACACAGCGTAATCTGATGAGTCTACTAAAAACAGATCTTGTGCGCCAAAACAAGCTTCAACACAACCCAATCGTTTTCATTCTCCAGCATCCTATTTGATTATCTTGAACCGATTTGATAGCAAAGTGAAATTCTTAAATCTAGGAATTTCACCTTAGTCGAACGTAACTAAATTCCAAAAAATTGTATGTATGTTCCATTTTTATGACGTGGGAGTATGTAAAGATTGTACTTGTTTTTTTTATTGATGATCTGGCTAAAAAAAGTGTCTGTCCGTCAAACTTTATAACGAGTAAAAGATAATAATTTGACTCTATAACCTTGTAGAAACTTGAAGAAGATAGAACAAATATTGACGTCTTTGCATTCCAAATACTAAGAGTTCATACTACATGATTATCAGGCCATGTTTTTTTGGATGCTTTCTATTATCATAATGATAAAATTTTGTATTAAAATTTCGGCTTGCTTAAATGCTTCGACCATCAAATAAAGATATGTCGTAGCTAGAGTTGGACAAATATAAGTCAGAAGTATCAATGATAGAATATTCCAGATAAATGCATAACAATATTTTTAAAGCATCTGCAAGCAATTTATTAAAGAAAAAAAAAAAACTTAAATCAAATAGGATGTTTGACGAATTTTACTTCAGGCTGTTCGTTGTACTTCATTTCATCATCATTTGTGATCAACAAATTTGGCCGTATATTTACTCGGAGCGAATTATGAGAGTCAAATCTAAAGTGAATAATCTTTTTTATAATATCGTCTTATTACACAGCTACATAATTTCTAACGAATGACGGGAAGACAACTATCAGCGTGTAATTCATGTTTATAAACAACGAGCATAAAAAAGTATCTTTTTTTTTTTCAACCTGGGCTAATTAAAACCTTCTGTAGTACATAGAGGTCTTCAATCCCGGTAATCTATTTTAAGTCAAAAGTTTCATTTTTTTAATGACAATTAAAAAAAAATTGATGTATATAAAAAAAAAATGATTTGAGGAAACAAGAGAGGATATGTATTCAGTGAATATTTAAAAAGTGTGATGAATAGAAAGATAATTTATGCATTGATAGGATCGTAACTCCAGATTCTTGCACGATTGTCACCAGAACCAGTAGCAAAAAGAGGTCTACCAGATGGACTAATTGCAACAGAGATGACTATCCGAAAAAAAAAAGAGAAGAGTTAGAAGGTTGTTATTTGAATCATTTCTACGTTCTATGTAGATAACATACCCGAGTTTTTATGACCTTGTAACATGAACTGTGTTTGACCAGTACGAGGATCCCAAAATTGAACACCACGATCTTTTGAGCCAGAGACAACCCAACGACCATCGGGGGTACAACCAACTGAAAGAACAAAGTCTTTATGGCCAGTAAAGGTCATCTTACAAGGACCTTTACTTCTATCTCTATTCATACCCATCCCACGACCTTCGTCTGTGCCCAATTGCCATAACTTTAAGGTCTTGTCTAAACTACCACTCACCAACATTTTACCATCGGGCATAAATGCAACAGAGTAAACACTGTCCTTGTGATCTTCTAATCTTTCGAACAATACGCCCGATTGGGTATCCCAAATTCTTACCATTTTATCGAGACTGGCAGCAGCAATGACACGACCATCAGGTGAAAAGGCAACACTTGTGACGCCAGGATCCTTTTGATCGTGATCTGTAATACGAAGTACATGAAGACATTTACCATCCGCCATACTCCAGATCCTTGCTGTACAATCACCCGAACCAGAAGCAATCATACGTCCATCACGACTGAAATCTAGTGAATAAATATCTTGTTGATGTCCAATTAGGATATTTCGAATGCGTTTCTTTTGAATATCCCAAATTCTGATTTGCATATCCTCAGCACCAGTAGCAAGGTAGTTGCCGTCAGGACTGAAACATACAGAACGAATATATAGATCACCTTCAATTTTGATATTATCGTCTTGAAGCACAGCCACTCTCTGAGAGGAAGCAACGTCGTAAATAAATGTAGCTCGATTACATCCGGCAGCAAGATATCTTCCATCCGCACTAAACTTAACACAACAAACAACACTTGCATGATCCAGGGTATGTACTAAATCAACCTTTAATTGACGACTCGTTTTGGGGTTAAATAATGCAAACCAATCTTGTCCTTCTACTTTCATATTGGCAGGTACACTTTCCGGATCAACATCGGCCAAACCACCTGGGGTATTGCTGACTGATGGGCTAGGAATAGGTACTTTATTGATCGTCGTTCGGTTGTTCTGTACCATAATGGGTGGTGTGGGTACAGAGGAAGACGAAGCTGAGCCTGATTTACGTTTGTTGTTAGGTGAATCTTGTTGAATAGCTGATGGTGTGGCGGTCACTGTAGCACTACCACCGCCACTGGTTCTAGAAGTAGATGGAGGATAATTACCATTATAACCATTACCCCACTGCTGTGGTTGCTGCTGTTGCTGTTGTTGAGGATGTGCAGATGTAGGTGGTGTGGGTATACCTCTACTTGGTGATTGACCATAATTTGATGGTTGTGGTGGCTGTGATCCATTCATATAACCTGGTGCGACAACAGGTACAGTGGTAGTAGGGGGAGGAGGAGGAGGTGCCTGAGCAGAAGAAGGATAATGTTGGGCTTGTTGAGGAAGTACATTGGGTGATTGTTGCTGTTGAATTTGTTCAGCCATCTGTGGAGGAGCGACAAGTCCAGGATTACCATGCGCATTCATAATACCTCCAAAGTAATTTGACCCAGGACCAATGTTGGGAGGAGGCTGTTGTTGCTGCTGCTGCTGCTGTTGTTGTTGTTGTTGCTGTTGTTGTTGCTGTTGCTGAGGATGAGGTGCTTGTACTTGAGGATGAGCTGGTTGAAGAGGTGCCATACCTGGATGACCGCGAGATTCAATCTGTTGACGAAGTCTGGCAATTTCATCTTCATAACTATTTTAAACATCAATATACAGTCACAAAATAACAACAACAAAAAACAACAACAATAACAACAACAACAGAACGAAAAAGAAAAAAAAAATGTACATAAAGAATTAAAAAGACTTACTGCTTCTTTTGATTTTGCTGGGTACGTTCCAGTTCAAGCAAACTTTGTTGAAAACTATTCATTTCTGATATCTGTTGGTTCACTACAAAGTAACATAAAAAAAAAAAAAAAAAAAATCAGAATATATATATATTTATCGGCGCTTGGTATTTCACTTACTTTTGTGTTCAAAGTCATCTCTTTGAGTTTTACAAACATACAATTCTTGTGCTAATTGGTCAAATTCACCTCTAATAGTGTCCAACATTTCGACGACACGGTTCTGTGGTGCTGGCACCATGGGACGATGATTGTATACTGACATGAAAGTTTTAATTGGGCTATATTTTAAAAGAGCTACTATAAGAAAAAGAAAGAAAGAGAGATTGCTTAGCTATTATGGATGAATAGAAAAACGCGCTTTTGTAGTAAAATGTAACAAGATGTAAAAAAATAATAATAATACTGCAAAAATAATAAGGGTAAAAAAAAAAAAAGACTCTATTTTTTTTTTTGTTAAATGGAATTCGAACCTTTTCTGTGTGTTCTTGTTTCTTGTGGTTTATTTCGACGTTTTTGCTTTTTTAAATCGTTGGGGAAGGGGCGGGGGTAATAATATAAAAGAGAAAAAGAAAGAGAAAGAGAGAGTGAAAGGGGAACCAAAAAAAAAAAAAAAAAAAAAAAAAAAAAAAAAAAAAGAAAATAGCGAGGGTGGTGCAGTTACCATTTGAGTGATATATGGCCCACCCATCTGGATGGCGCACAAGTCATTTTGATTGGCTAGTTAAACAACCCTTGACAACAGCTCGTTGGTAGCGCTAAAGTTGCTCATCATCAGGTTTCCTTATTAATCATGGCTGCACGACCACGAATATGGATTATAGTAAGGCCTGAACCACCCTTCATTTTTTCTTTTTTTTTGTGCTCCCTGGGAAGACTTTTACGATTTTGGGCGAGAGCGATTATGAATAAGGGTTGTTAATTTAAATAACTTTGTTGCGGCATGTCAGATTTGTCCATCTTTATTCTAGAAGTAAAGGATGCTCTATCGCGTTTGCATATATTAACTTTTTTTATTCTATCTGCGTACACCTATTGTTATGCATGGCTACGACATATACCCGCTTAACTTAATATTTTCATGCAAATACGAGTGATACTCGGTATTTTCCGCTCAAAAATAAATAAATAAAACACCATGTATAATACATCCGCATGTATATTACTGTAAAACGGCATAATAGGCTTTTCTTGGTAATATGTATTTTCAAGCTGTTTTATCAAACGTTAAAAGGCCTACCCGCCTATTTTTGTTAGTGTGACAATGAAACATTAGAATCGTTTTTATTACTGGTTCAGCAATGTGACCTAAACTGTGGCGTCAGAAAATCGGTTATTAAAATATTGATACACATATTTCTAGGGTACCGTCATTTTTTTATATCTTCTGCAGATGGAACTTTTATTGACACGTAAAAAAAAAAGAGCACTTCACGGAGCCATGTTTAAGGGACTTGATTTATTTGTTTATTCATAGCTTAAAGTGTTCCAGATCTCATATGACATGTGCCTTTTATACTCTTTTGTATATTATCATTACGCGTATGAGATTTGATCGCACCCCCTTTTTTATAAATAGTTTTTTTCTGCTGATCGCTTATTTTGTAGTTAGAATTGCCGATTTTATCTCGTGCACAACTCGAATTATACAAATATATCGCACGTGAAAAGTAAAGCGCAGGTAATATTATCTTACGTCAAGATGTTAAGTAAAAGCCCCGTTCATTACTTGATAAGATTGTACACAGTCTAACTTAGTAATGTGGTATACACTTACGCAAAAATATCAAAAAACTGCTACTTTTAGCACGTTGCTTAACATTTATCACCTAATGAGGTTAATAAATTTTATACGATACTCTGTTTTCTGAAATTGGCTAGTGATCCATTCAACCTCACCTATCAGTCTAGGCATACATGAGTTGTCACGTTCCATGTTTCTTGATTAACAACAAGTTCTAATTTGTTTACAATGCCTTTTTTTACGATGCTTTGTTTAAATTTCAATGCTAACATCGCTGAAGACTTTAATGCCAAAAGTCATATAATTGAAAAATTAATGTCGTGCATGGAAAGAAAAAAATAGATACTTTATCAAATAAATATGAAGAATACATCGTTAACCTAGTTGTTTTGAAAGAACAATGTAAAAACGTAAGTACCACACGTCTAGTAAGTATTCAGCTAATAGTGTTAAAATACAATTGTTGATAATTGTAATCATTTACATATGATAAAAAAAAAAGATGAAGCTATTTTTAGTAAATCTGTTGCAGGATTGGCAATATTGACCATTTTGGTGTCTTAAAACCAACACCAAAAGCCATATTTCAGATGCAGGCAAGTTAGCGACGTCTCTGTCACAGCATATGATCTATTCTATCGTAATTTGGGCTTTTCTTTTTTAAATTAAAATGAAGAAATTTTGGAAAATACGTTGCCTTATTTTATTCTTCAAATCTGTTGTATTTACGGAGTCTCGAGGAATGATCTAAACGCATAACGATCGATTTTTACAATCGTAAAAGAAAAACGCGATCTAGTAACACAAAGTTTGTGTCTAGAGGTTCTGTAAACGAACGTTGTCTTGTATTTTTTTTTGAAAAAACCGATGTACTATATAGGCCATCCCCACGAGATAAAGGACCATTATGTAGTCATGGATAATACGCTTTATCACAGTGGTAAAGGAATAGATGGGCTTTGGGAACCTGATGATTTTTAAAATCCGCCCTTTGATATTTTTATTTATCTTTGGGCGTTGTGTGTGCAAACATTCGGAGACATGGTTTTCGTAGTGTGTTTGCACCAAAAATACTTTGCAGAAACAAAAGGCGCCAAGATAGACGAAGCAATTTAAATATATTGCTGGCTTAGAAAGTTACCCCAATATTTTTGCAACGTTAGTATTTGCACATCTGTCTTCTACTTATGCTGTAAATTGTGATCACACTAAAGTTACTAAAATCTTGGTGTGACAAACAGATACACGTAACACGACGCTTTATAAAATTTTAACTAGAATTGTTACACTAATCCATCTTTGACCACCTTCCACAAAAAAATTCAAGTGCTACACCAAAAAGTGTGACCTCCTTCAAAAAATTCGGAAACGATTAATTTAATTACATTACGCATAGAAAAAAAAAAAAAAGATTTACGCTATACTGATAAATAAACAAAAACATAAAGGGAAATAAAAAGGGGTTATATATTTGCGGTGGATAGATTAGCATTTGGTGTTTATGCAGAGAGAAGGAAAGATTGAGAGTTACGTTGACAGCAGAATATCGATTTCAATTATCAGCCGATATTTACTTTGCACGAACTATAATTGAGGGAGGACAATTGACAGCCGTTTTTTCTTAATTCCTTATGTAAAACAGATGTAGAGAGAGAGAAAAAAGGAGAGATTTATAATTATTCACACGTTGGGCTTATGCACGAGATTCTAGAATGCCTAAAAAGATGAGTACACAACAAAAACTAGTGTCAGTTACAAAAATGATATCATTCTATTTAATGTCATTTATTTTTGAATAAGTGATAGTACGGTCACACCATAAATAAAAAGCTCTAGTAAATTCTTTTTTAATACGATAAGAAACCTTGCTTATATAAAAATAATAATGGCTTAGAAGTCTGTGCTTAGTCTGTACACAGCAAAAGAGGAATAGTACAACTGACGGGAAGTAGTGATCGTTGTGTTACTTATGAAAAACACGTCGTTTTGATAAAACAAAATGTAGAAAGGACTGATTGGCAATAAAAAGAAGGATATTAATTATAGATTTACGCGTATATGTAATATTAAATAATATAAATAAACTGCACATACTCTTTGGTCAAAAATAGCAAACAAACAAGTGGCTGAGCTAGAGATTAAAAGGTAACTACCCCTTCTTCGCTCATCTTGAGGGACAAAGAATTACCAAGGAGTTTATCGTCGCTTTTTGACAATAACAACAATTTGTTTTTTTTTATATTTTGTTTTCTCTTCTTTTGCTTATTTATACATAAATCATCATTCAAGCTTAACTCTTGTATATACTTGTAATACCTGTTAAAAACTTCATTTTTGTTGTCACTGTATAATAAAAATGCTCAGAAGTAATCAATTAACCTATCGAGGATCATCTCCACCTTCATCTGATAGGTAATAACTATTTATATGCTTAAACATATATAAACATTTCTTTTTTCTTCTTATTTAAAATCTTCTTTTTTCTTGTTATCAGTTTATCGTCATATCATCATTACCAACATCCTATTTATCAGTACAATTACTATAATTCGCCAGCATCCATCAACAGTCCGATTTCAAGCCCTCACATATTAAATCATTTATCCTACTATCCCACAATACCCATGGATTCCTATTCCTCTTCACCGCATATCCAACAACTGTCATCTCCCTCATCCCCACCCGTGAGTGGTATGTCAAATACCAATATATCTGCACCAAGGTAAAGCTTACCCTCTATTCACTTACTTCTTTTTTTCCTTCCCGGAAAGTAACCCGATCAAAAAAACATGTGTAACCCACGCCGAGCATGCAAAAAAGAAGGGGTTACGTTTGATTTTGTACCACTGACTGACCACATTATTTTTCCCTTTATATCATAGTCCAATTCGCTACGATATTTCACTGGAAGGTAAACATGAACCTTAACCTTTTTTTTATGTTCATAACTAATCGAGTAATCTTTTGTTTTCCTCAGCTCCTACCGCGGCATCACAGAAAATTGATGAACCACCACTTACCTACTTGAATAAGGGTAAATTTTGTCATTCAAAAAAAAAAGCATGTTTGTTGTTTATTGCAATGCGTGTATTTACACTATTTTTATACTTATTAGGACAATATTATAACATTACCTTGAAAGATAAGGAAAGATTTGATGGTGATATTATTAGTGTTGTGTCGATTACATTTCACGATGAAAGTCATCGTATGGGAGCCACAGATTATTGGAAGTTCTGGTTAACACAGCAAAAAGATTCAGATAAAGCAAGAGCAGTAGAAATTGGTACATTATTACTCATTTTCTTGAATAAACAATGACGCACATAATATTGACACATTTTTCTCTATAACAATTACAGATTTAACAAGATCGAGTGGGGCTCAAGCAATCGAATGCAGACAGTTTGACCGTATCTCTTTTAAATGGAACGGTAAATTGGGCGCGTCTGTTCATATCCGGTTCAATTGCTTATCTACCGATTTCTCGCGTATCAAAGGTGTAAAAGGAATTCCTCTTCGTCTCCAAATTGAAAGTGAGCAGGGACATATAAACCTCATCGAACAAACCGTAGCAGAACGAACTTACTGTCGTATCAAACTATTCAGAGATAAGGGTGCCGAAAGAAAAAACAAGGATGATGCTAAACATATCGAACGTCAACTAGAGAAGAACAGAGGCAAAAATGGTGAACCCCATCCGTTATGGCTTGCTTTCTCTCCTACTGCACCCGTTACTTTATTCAGAGAGGTGATTCCACCAGAGGAAGAAGAAAGTAACCACCATCACTTGGAAGACGGACGATACTCGCACGATATACTATCTTCAGTCTTACCTCCTCCCACTTCTATGAAAAGGAGCTACAGTAACTTTCAAGCATCAAATGACATACATAATCTTTTCCATTCACCTTCTGTCATGCCTTCTGCTCTTACTATCGCTCCTCCTATTCCTGCTCCCAATACCACAAACACTACCACAGCTACTCCTATTGGCTTGGACCCCAATTATATACCTCAAATAAGACGCCGTATTGCAAGTAATGTATAATTGAATTAAAAATAATCTTTTTTTGTTTTGCTAAAAATTACACTCACAATAGAGCTGATGTTATTAATCAAGTATGGTAACTGTGATATATATAGGGCTATTTACTTGGAGCATTTGACTGTAAAAGAATTGACAGAGAAGCTTGTCCAACGACTAGAGATCACAAGACCTGTTGCTAGTATACTTCGAAAAATTGTGTCCAAAGATAAAAAAAGATCAAACATGATTGTAGAAGTGAATGATGAGGTTATACAAGACATGACAGAAGAACAAGATATCTTTATTGAAACACAAGAAACTGGCGATTCAAAAACTTCTATTAATCTTATTTTGAACTTTTAGTCAACCAAAGAACAAAAATATTATACAAAATGTATCACTAATAAAGAATAAAAAACTTCTTTCTTCTTGATGAGTATTGTATTACTTGTCACACTCAAGAGAAATTATAACCAGTATCATAAGTGTGCTTGCTATTCAATTATGTAATTATTGATCGACAATAAATCCTTTCCTCTAAGATTCTCAAACCATTCTTCTAAAACAAATGCTCTTAATATTATGTAGATATAGTGTATCCGCTCATATATTAAATCAATTAGGGGGTCTTAAAAGTAGTTCTTATTACACTACATCCAGACAATGAACATTTTGGGAATATTTTCTGCGATTTGACCAAGAAGCTTTTATTCAAAACAGCTGAATAAATATCCAAAAGTGGAAGGAAACGTCAGCCAAGTTCTTGATATTCAATCAAGTACTACCAGCAGAAGCAAATCGGCATGTTTTATTTTCAAAAATTGACGATAACTGTGTAAACTACTCTACGTCTCGCTCTTAAATTAGCCTAGAGCTTTGTGCACCCGAGTAAAAGGAGAGACTTAAGCTGTTGCCACTAAAATTGCTAAATTTTCAGGGTGAACGTTTGGTCCCAAAATAGATAGTATCATTATTGAAATATCTAGAACTGTCACAGGTGTTTTCAAAGTTGAAAAAAAAAGTTCTAAATGAAGTTGGTTGAAATGTTTCACTTTATTTCAGAGAGAAATGTACTGCTAAGTTCAAAAATGTATGAAAAAAAAAATATTAAAGATATAGTTTAAAAAAGGAGATAGTTTTTTTTTTCTTAAGCAACAGTCTTTTGTGCTAATGTAATTTTATCACCAAGACTTAAGGCAATGCCTTGGGTCTTTGAACGAATACGAATATGACCTGTGATAGGACCATCACCGTTCTTTTCAATACTCAAATTTGCCAGTGCATCTTCACCAAAAATACTTCTAGCATACATGTTGGCAGATAAGAAACCGCAATCACCTTCAAGTTGTTTCTTGGGTGTTAAACAACTCATGTTTGTAGAATCCATAATGTGTTGCAAGTAACCTCTCAAATCACTTATAAAAAAATGTGTTAGCAACAATGACATAAAAACGACAATGTTCAATTTTTTTTTCTTACCCAACGTTCGTGTTGACATTAACCTTGTTTTCCCATTCAAATTCAGTCCACATGGAACGGAATTGAGTTTCATTACAGAAAGCAGGATTAATATAATCCATAATATCAATATGAATATCGTTCAAAACAACACAGTTTTCAGTAGATCCATGAGAGTCATATACAATGTTACCAAAGATCACACCAGTTTCGGTAGAAGACACCTTGATAGGAGCCTTTACAGTCAAGAAGGAATGAGGGGCCAAATTATGCGTGGTAGGACGATCAACGAGTTTAAGATCACCCAAAGTAGCAAATTCAACTGTCAAATTTTGCAAGGTTTCGTTTGTTTGATTAACAATCAAGACATCCATTAAGATATCATATTGGTGAACATTGACAACAGCTTCAGCATACACCTTATCAGAGAAACCTGTCAATTGAACAATACGGTTTAATTTGGACATTAAATCATCCTTATCATCAAGTGAGCCAGTAGCACGGGATAAATCTTGATCGTACTCATCAGCACTTCCACCTGATTTCTTGGAAAATTGACGGAAAACAATTGCATCGTCTACTTGAACTTGAACACTTGCTTCACTTTCTGCCTTGGCATCAGCTAATCTTTTATCTTCAGCCTGAAGTTGCTTAGAATAGACTTCACGTGTATCTTGGAGATAGACAGTATCGATAGCCTTGTTACCAGCTGTACCAACAACACGCAAGTCTTGCATAATTCGATCGTAAGAATCTTCATCAATTTCAAAAGCAACGAATTTGGATTGTCCGATACGTAAAATACTTGTCATGATCAACATGGCTTCAGCCTTACGAGCATTAGCAAGTGCAACATTGGGTGCAATTGTGTTGTAACGAAGCACCAATTTGGTGATGGCTGTGGAAAGGACCGTACCCAAGAAATAATCACCAGCAAGGATGAGAGATCTAAGTGGAGGTTTCTTGGCTGCCTTAACAGCCTCTAATCGAGATGTAGATGCAGAAGATTCGGTGTAAGCACTTTCGGTAGCATATGTACCATCGGCAAGAATACGGCGAGGAGCAGCACCACCTGAAGGAACGGCACTTGGTTCGTGTTTATTTTCATCTTCGTCGGCGGCTTCTGTAGCATCTAATAACTTTTGTTCGGAAGCCAACAAGGGGATTTCACCCAAAGCTTGACGGATTTGCTTCCAGGCATCGTCAATTTCCTTGAGATTCTCACAATATTCACCAATAATCCAAAGTGCGCCACGGAAGACTTTACCGGATTTCATATCGGCAAAAGTCTCCAACAACTTTTCTAAAATGGATTCTCTCAAACCAGGGAATTTCTCTACCACTTCACGTACAAAGGAGACGACATCCACAGCAGCGGGGTTGTTGGAATCGCCCAAAAATTCCATAAGAACATGAACCACATTGGCAGCCACTTCTGAGAATTTGATGGCACATGTGTGGATCGATTGAATCAAGAGTTGACGATATTCCGTGTTTTTTTCATACGCATCGTCTTGTGTCTTTGTTAATTCTTTCTTTAAGAATAAAACGACTTCTTGTACATTTCTGGAAGAAACCATCTCCAATGCGATACGAATAGCCTTACGACGCACTTCAATATCAGGACTAACCCCCAATAATAATAAAAACTGTCAGACTTTTTCTCTCTCTTTTTAAGCTCTCTCTTTCCGTTATTTTACCTAGTTAAAACTTGGAGAATATCCATGACCAAATCATCTAGAACGCGATCATGCTTGTTTCTAATCTCTTCGAGTCTATCGAGAACAATAAGCTTGACATTATTATCTGATTCCTTGACAATCAATTCAATGTAACATGAAGCAGCGGCTAATTCGATTGTTTTAGTTTTCCATCCTTACTATTTGCATTTTTTTTTACATGAATATATTTTACCTTTGACAGCGGCGGGACTGGTTGTCAAGTACAAAAGAATAGCAGCAGCTTCGTATTTGACAGAATGAGAAGCAGCAGCCAATAATTCAGATAAGCAACGAATATAAGAGGCCTATTTTTGATACATGAAAAAAAAAAAAAAAAAAAAAAAAAAAATTGGTTCCACAATTTTAAAAAATATAAAAACGTGTCTTGTATTTACCTTATTGGTGGAGCTTGTTTTAGAGTCCTTACGGATTAATTCGATCACTGCTAATTGTAATAATTCGTCAAAGGTAGGGACAGAGTCCATAACTTGTAACAAGTAATGAACAGCAAGCCCTTGATCAACATTACAAAGAACAACAAATGCATTACGTCGACAGGTCATGTCTGCCTCCTTAAATAAATAAACAAGTGTTAATGTCACGCATGTCTCTTTCTTTTTCCATTTCCATCTAAGACGCAAAAACTTACAGTAAGCAAAAAAGACTGAACAACTTCAGGAGCATCAGGGAAGAGATGGTCAAAAGACTTGAATATAGCACCAATAGCGAATACGGCATTCTTTCGAACATAAGAATGACGGTGTTCCTATAATGAGGGACCAATGGTGAATAATTGTGTATATATAAAAAAGGTACGTTTCTTTGAGAGGGGTTAATTACCAAACAAGCTCTGACGGAAGGAACAAGAGGTTCAAGGATTTCAGCTTCCTTAATTTTGCACAAGAAACGAAGGGTAGAACCTCTAATATATTCGTTGGGATGTTGGAGATCATTCATAAGTGCATTGCTACATACGTACAATGTTGCTTTAGAATATACATATTTTATAAATAGATAGACTACTTTACCAGACCAAAATAAATTCTTCCTTGAGCTTTCCGTCAGGCTTTGTCTTGGGACAGATTTCCCAATAGAATTGCAACAGCTTCTTCAACTGCTTGTTTCTTGAAGGTAAAACGAAACGAATGACATGCAACAGGAGCTTCTCCATAGGGTCTCCGTTCAACATGATAACAAGTAACTTCTTCATAGTCTCAATACGTGTGTCATCAGATCCCTTCTCAAAGGCTTTTTGAAAGTCTTGAAGGGAAGGTGTCTCGGTCGCGTCATCTTGGTATACAAGAGTGTAACAAAGGTCGGTTGCCATCTTTTGTTATTTTAAATATCTCGGGGTTAAATGGGTGTTCTTTTTGGGCTTTTTCTTTTTTTTTTTTGGAGAAGAAAAAAAAATAGAGTCAGCAATTAGACTATTTACACAATGAAAAAGTAAGAACGTTGATTCAAAGAGATGAAGAGAAAAAGAAAGAGGGCAAAAAAAAGCCATTTAATAAGAATCTACGTGCCATCTCTTTTGATTCTCCGCTCCAATCGTGTGTGAATCACATTAAATCCTGAAGGTAAAAAATGCAAAAAAATTAAGTGTCGATTGTTGTCAATTCGTGAAATTAGAAAAAGAAAGTAATCAGCATAAGAGGTGTTCTTCAAATAATTCGAAATTACTTTGGTGCCTATTTTAAAGGGAAGGTCAACCGGATAAAGTCCAGACGTGGTCCAAGACATTAATGAAGGGACTTCGATTTCAGCTGCCAAACGTCAGTCAAAAGAGTTTTAAGATAGGTTACGAGAGGCCATCTTTATATTTAGCACAATTGACTCCTTGCGACTGTTGAAAATATGTTGATATCTATGGACAAGACTTGAGATGATACTTGGAAGTTTAACTCAGACCGGATTTAGGCATCGTGTTCGTCGCTTGGTGCCTGCGATATTTCCTCGTTTCAAATGGAGTTCCTTTTTTTGACAAATTGACAAGGAAAACAGCTGTAAGTGTTCTCCAGTCCGTAAAACTTGGTCATATATCTGATGCAAATGATAAATCAAGATGTACCACAAGTTCGAATCAACAAATACGGTCTTGAAATATATCGATGTGTTTGAGGAACCAATGTGATTGAAGGTGGTGTGCGCACCAATATAATCCGTAGGTTTGGGCTTAAGGATTGTTCCATAGAGTCCATACTTTATGCCCTTTGTGACGAAACAATACAGACTTGGGGAGCAAAAACAAATACAAAACTGTCTATCGTGGTCATTATAGTCCTGGGCTCACCCGAAGAATTAATTGCTTGTTGTCAACGCTTGTTATAAATGCCCAAGGTTCATATCATGATCCCGATTGCGCGCAATCAATTTTTTTGGAAATCCCTCCAAGGAAGAATCTGGTGTAATATGTCTGTCAGACTATTTACTTTCAGATTATTCAATGGTTAGACCTGAATCATGTACGCGAAATGTCGCCTCTACAGCATTTGAAGACGTATCAAATCGTTGTGTTCCTGTCCCAAATGCTTCCTGGTTTCCCTGATCAGCTTACGAATCTATCGCGAGGTAGCAAGAAACCATAATTCTTATCTTTCCAGCTCACGCACATGAGAAAAAATTGTATTACAGAACCTTGATGGAACGGAATTCTAGATTCGCACAATCCAACGTTCTTGACTTCAAGGCAATGACGGATTCATGGAATAAAGGGTGTACAGTGCATTTTACAAGACGTACTCTCATCTACAATTATACTTCAATGCTAGATCTGATCTCTCTAAGTTTAAATCAACTGCAAGTCTCAACTCTGACAAGATGGCTAAGGTTAGAAGGATTTTACATCCAAAAAAAAAAACAGAGAGAAGTTTCAAGCTGTCTCACCTCCAGACTTTCTTGAGAAAAAACTTGTTGTTGAAACAGTGATTATTACAGTTGTTCGATCTATCCAGTCGACTAAAGTTCAAGGGAGCGGACAATAACTTTCTCATAGATTCCAAAGACCTATCATGTCTCAGGCCGATAATCTCCATCCTAAATCACCTCTGATTAAAGTTTCATCCCCACTATCTGGTGTAAAACGAAAAAGAGCCGTGACACCTAGGTTTGAATGGAAATATCTGGCTGTTGTGGCCAAAACAATTGTAAAGAAATAGGTCATTTGATTTGAGACTATCTCTACCTTTAAAAGGCTTGTGTTTTTACCAGATTCCTATGATCCTGCGTGGACAGACTTGTATTTTTATAAACAGATAAGACTTAAAATCATGATATTAAGCTGGACAAAGCTGTATTGATGATCGTTACCAATCTCTCTTGATTAGCATATTTGTCACACTGAATTTAAACTGAGAAATTAGTAACCCTGCTGGATGGTGCATTTGAGTCTGATGGAAAGAGATTCAGTTTATATCTTTTTCGTTGCTGACATTACAATTTATCATTCAAGTGTTGGGTTTTAATACAACGGTTTGCATAAATATAAGAAATATGCAAACTCTTATCGTTGAGCTCATTTTAATGAATTATAGGGTTTTCCAAGTATTCTAGCGGCCACCGATACCTTCTTTAATTGACTATAGATTAGAGCTAAATTAAATTACGATCAGCAAGTTGCATGAATCAATCCTTTGTTAATGATAATGAATACACAACACAACAAAGATATATTTTAACAGGATGATAAGTAATGATGATGGATGATGATGAAGTGTGTGTGATTTATTATTTAAATATGAGATGCAAAAGTAGATAGAATATCAGTTAAGGAGATAACACCCTTTAATTCGCCCGTTTTCAGATCCATCCACCAAAGACGATAAGTCTTTCTGATGACAAAAGCCGTCATGATTTGAGACAGAGTAAATCCATCATGACAAGTTAAAGGCGGAAACAATTCTCCATGAGACGTCTTCAAGTACATCACAACCGGTTTTGAAAGTGTTTCCCATCGGTCCCGGTTTAACCCACGCAAGTCTTTAGCACTAATCTCTCCAATCAAATCCTCATTATCGTCCAGAATAGGCAAAGCACTGATGGTGTTATCACCCGCCAATTTTAAAAAGGCTTCGGCTGCTGTACATTTATAATTCAAGGTTGCACGAATTCCCGTGGATTTAATATCATGAACTGATAAATCCAAAATGGAGGAACCCAGTTGATGATTGCATGATTGAAAGAAACGGATTAAATCCATTTGGGATAACAAGACAAAGGTGGCATTGGCTTGTTCAATCAATACACGATGTGTCTTTTCATAACTAAAGAGTTGTAATAGTTTATCCAGCCCATCGGAGGACTTGAGTACACTCATTGTTTCTGTCATACCTACTGCATCACTCAATGGCATTAAGAGGACATCACGGTTTGTTTGTAACGTATCGAGTGATACCTTTTATTGCATAGCGTGTGAGTTTTAACTCGTCATTTATTTGTTTACCATCCCTTTTTATTTATTTACCTTGGTACTTAGCAACTTTAACAAATCTAAAGCACTTACGATAGTAATGTATTCTCTTTGACCATTCTTGTCTGTACGATAGATGGGAATGGATAAAATATCATGAGCCAAAAGTAAATCAAAAGCTTGTTCAATGGTGGAAGACGAAGGTAAATCCACTAATTCACGATGCGTAGGCTTGACCTTTTGAAGCACATCTCCCACATTTCTTGACTGTATAAACTGATGTAAAACGTCTTTATCCTCCAAATCAATATTTTTATTATTCATAAGTGTAGTCATGTTGAAGACCTTTTTTTAATTTAAAAAGAGAGAAAAAAAAAAAAAAAAAAAAAGAAATGATTGTGGGAAAAATTCAGCTAAAATAGTAAAGTGACGAGTAACACCAAAACGAACCAATCAGTTCAAGTTCCAGTCACGTCAAAAATGTGCGGAATTTATTAAATTTAAAATGGAAAGCGACTGGACTTTTTACCATCAAATGCAGCCAAAGGTTGAGGTGATTTCAAATGAAATTTACGTGCTTGACGTTGACCTCCGCCTGTACGCTCGTGTTCCCAATCTTCCCATTTCTTCATCACCAGTCGTTTCGAATCAAATTTACCTTCTTTATCACCATGACTTTCTCCCTTCTTTTCGCCCACAACCACTCGAGTAGCTCCCCATGAGAAATCATCAAAATGCCAGAACGAATACAATGGCAGCACCATATTCCAAACAGGTAAAGCACAGATATAAACTAATAGAGAACAAGAAAAAAAAAAAGAAGGTTAGAGTTATGAGGTAATTGCAAACAAACAAATACTTTACTAATCATCCATAAAACATAGATAAACTTAAACGTTGTTAGCGCAATTAACACCGCAGGTAGAACTAAAATCGCCAGTAGTAAGCCAATAGACTGCCACTGAGGATCAGGCGTAATAGCTGTATTCACAATTAAATACACGGACATGACAATAGCAGCTGGAAGAACTAATGTACCGATTAAATCAATAAATACAGAGAATTGCATGGATAAACACGCGATACCACAGAGATCAGAAACCAGCACTAATTCCATGAGATTATGTACAGTTGAGTTAATCCATCGACGACGTTGCGATAAAAGCACACTGAATTCATCGGGTACCACCGTACGACACCGTGCTTGAGGCACAAACATCATTTGTCGATTAGGGAAGGTACGAAGCATTAAAGTGGATAAGAAACGATCCTCACCAAGCAATAACAAGTTCTTTTCGTGTAGTGTGGTTACCACATTTTGATTGTATTCCAGAATGATATCAGGGTTCGCTAAAACGGGAACCCAAGCTCCATTCTTGGGTGATTTAATACGGTACATACTGAAGCAACCTGGCAAACATGTTACCATACCAAACAGAGATTCGAAGGCTTTTGCATAATGATGTGAGATATAGTATTCAAACACTTGAATGGCAGTCACCCAAGAAGTACGTTTGTTGGCAATCCGAGTTTCACCACATAAACCCATGATTGTGATATCATTGGCCATCGCAGCGACCATATACGTTAATGCATCAGGCAACACTTGTGTATCTGCATCCACCATCAAGACCGTTTCGAATTTATCGGGCGTTACACCTTCCATTAACCAAGTCATTTTCCAAAAGATTTCATAATCCAATTCACAGAAACGATCATTGAACAAGACACGTTGAAAGAATGACATGAGAATGACTTGCGAATCACGTTTACCGCGATTACCTGCTTTAGCCCCCTTTTGTTCTTCTTCCGTACCACATTTGACAATGGTCACACACGCTGTGCCATTATAATGACCTGCATAAACCTTGGCCATATTCAATTGCTTTTCACCATCCGCCACTGCCAAGTAAGATACCGGTTTAGGGTTGGCCATTGCTGGGGTCAAGTCCATAATACTCACCACAATATCGGGTGTCGACATGCTTTCACCTGCACCTGTAATTAAGCCATCGGCAATGACGAAGAAAATCTTGTGTTTGTTGGAATAGGTTGTGTTGGATAAACTGTCCATGGTAATTTTTAATCCTTCCTCTCCTTCTGAATAACAAGTAACTAACATGACGGTATATAGTTCTGTATCCACTACATCCGTTTGATGCCCACGAAGACCTGCCGATGGGTCAGAACTTTGGACACTGCGATTGTTATTCGAGGCTAGGGTTTGAATAGAGCCTTGAGCCATTGGGCCATAATTATTGTAAGGGCCTGGCACATGGTTGGCAGGATCATCGTTACCACCTTTAATAGACCGCCAAGCCAACCAATTTGATCTTCCGCCTGGAGTGGTCAGTCTTCTCGAAATAAACCATTGAAATAAGACGGCCATGGAATAACGAATGATAATAATAATGAGAATGACAGCAAACATGACGGTCATGATCAATTGATCTGCAATACAACTCCCCACCTCCTGTGAAGCAATGCCGACACCATAGCGAGCTACAATACATGGTCTTGCATTTTTACCGGCAGCGGTATATAAAAGAGCATAGGTCATATCGTTCCCGCGCGTGGAACGGAGTGCGTTATCAACCTCGGCACCAAAAATAGCAGAGTCTGTATCGAAATACGAGGTCAAATTCACAATGGTGTCCACAATTAAACCAATATCAGAAGAGGACATGTTATCTGCACGTAAATCTTTCCAATCATAACTCACAAAACCGATACTTGAACTATAATCATGTAAAGCAGAAAGTGGCAAGCAACTGTCTCCCGATAAGGTTACACCTGGATTTAATATTTTAGCAAAAAAATGTTGTGAGTTTTAAAATAGAAATCACAAACCTGTAGGACTTGTAATTGAGCAAGAAGGTACAGAATCATACGCAGCGCAGGCATTGTTTGTATCACCGTCAAACATGGCACCGATTTCCATGCCCTGAAAAGTGTCTGATAATTCAAGGTTTTGGCTGGCGAAAAAAGATTGCGTGATATTAAACGGATAGATTTGGCCAAAGACGGAAACTTCTTCTCGTTGAACAGGCACTCTTTCTCCATTGATGTCAGCAGCATATGGGTAACTTATTCTGTCTTGTGGGCAAAGGTCAATGTTGAGACCGTAAATGATGTAAGCCAAAAGACCACACATGGTGGCAACCAAGTAACACAAGGTCAGCTATAAATAAAGAGAGATACTAAATGAGTGAAAATGATTAACGTAAAAAGAAGGATATAAATACCTTTTCTCGCCAAGCTTGTTGCATATTTTTATTGGATTTACCAAACCAAACTCGAATGATGTAACTAGGAAAGCAACAGGTACAGAGATAGGCAATCCATGCCCACCAATTTGTCAAGACTTTAGGTTCTTTTTCTTTCTCTTGTATTGGCTCTTCTTGTCGAGCATAGTGTTGTTGTTGTTGATATTGTTGCTTTTGTTGCCGAAGTTGTTGTTGTAAATTGGTTGACATTGGTTGGTTATTCATTGGGTTTGTTGTCGAAGAGGATGAAGGCGCAGGTGATGGAGTAATTCTCGTATGTTGAGGTTGTGATGGGTTTCGATTGATCATGCCGGTACGAGGTCTTTGACGTTCAGGTCTAGTCAATGACTTGGAACGATTGATATTGGTAGTGCCTCTATGATAGGGATTGGGGTTATTGGGTAGATTGCTATTATCAAAGTTCACGGTATGGCCGTGGCGAGGAGTAAAGGGGGGATCATTTTGAGGCCGTCTTTGGTGAGGTGCATTCTGACCATAAGGCGATGCATTGGACATGATTTTTTATAGAGAGAGAATGGAAAAAGGGAAAGCGAAAGAAAGCTTGTAAAAAAAGTTTTGACGTTTTTGTTTCATTCGTCCCTGTAAATAAGGCGGCGACATGTTGCTAGTGTGTTTTATATTTTTATACATCTATTTTATTTTCTAAAATAGAACCTGTCATGTTCATGTATAAGTGGGAGCGCGGATAAATAAAATCCAGTGCATGAAGGGTGTGACAAAAATATAAATTTAATCTTGTCGTTTTAAGGGGTGTATGTGTATGTGTTTGTGTGAGTGAAATGTGTGGGCTAATAAGAGCAGGTGGTGTAACCTAGACAAGGCTTCACGTGTTTTAAGTGATGAAAATTGGCTGTGACTGTAAGAATAGCAGGCAAGACAGCTTATTGGCCGATGCCAGCAAAATCAACGTCCAGGGCTTAATCCTCCGTTAAAAATTTTTTTAAGGCGCTTTTTTTTTTCCACCTAATATTTAACCACTATACATTTCTACTCACTTTTTTTACACTCTATATTTTTTTTTATACACATTTTAAAAGGTAAAGTTTTAATAGCACTGGCAATTTTTTTTTTTTTTTTTTTTTTTTTTTTGATTATTATCTACCACTTCTGCCCCTTCCCTCAACACCCTTACACACTACACACATTTTCTTTTTTTATTTTTTTTTTATTTATTTTGCTTCCCTCAGTACACAAAATACACGTCGTTGCCTGTTTATTACATCTTGAAAAGTTCTTCATCTCTTTTTTTTTTTTTTATTATTTTTTCTCCTTTGACCTTTTTTTTTTATTGTTTAATAATAATGTAAATTGAAAATCCGCATTAACACAAATTTGTTTTTAAAAAAAGATGCCCAAAGATACTGAGAAAGTCACCAAGCGCGCTGTCGTCAAGGCTGATGAAAAGAAGAAGAGAACCAAGAAGGATCCCTCTGCCCCCAAGCGTGGTTTGTCTGCATACATGTTTTTCTCTCAAGCTTCTCGTGCTCAAGTCAAGGAAGATAACCCTGATGCCACTTTTGGTAAGTAGAGGGATAATCCATCTCTCTGCCAATGTATATTCATTTCCTTTTTTAGGTCAAATCGGTAAGCTCCTTGGTGAGAAGTGGAAGGGCATGACTGATGAAGATAAGAAGGTAAAAAAAAAAAAACCATCTTTTTATTAAAGTTACTCTTTTCTTTTACTAACCCTAACCCTATATTCTTATTACTAGCCTTTCCATGAAAAGGCTGAAAAGGACAAGCAACGTTATGAAGATGAGAAGGCTGCTCTCAAGTAAAATCACTCTCTTAATTTTATATCCTCCCCACCTCTTTTTCATGATTTAAAATAATCCTCCCCCAAAAAATTAAAAAAAATAAAATATCGCAATTTGGACGCGCGTTTAAAAAAAAAATAGGATGCTTTTTTATTGGTCCATTTTAATCTGATTTATTGGATGTTGTTTCAGCGGCTGTTGACTGCACATCTCTTGCAGGCTTATCTTCTCCAGCTGATCTATCCTCACGAGAGTAACTTCTCTCGGTTCTATCTCCTTCGCCAAATGATCTGCGAGGTTTATCTCCCTCTCCAAATGATCTACGAGGTCTATCTCCTCCCTCACCAAAAGATCGGCGTCTATCGCCATCACCACCAAATGATCTACGAGGTCTATCGCCGTTAAAATCTCTGCCAAAGCTTCTTTCCTCACCATCTCTTTTGAAGAAAGGTTTTCTCTCTCCATCGTCTCTTCTATTAAACGATCTCTCACCACCATCTCTGCTATTAAACGATCTTTCGCCACCATCTCTTCTATTAAACGATCTCTCTCCATCTCTCTTGAAAAAGGGCTTTCTCTCGCCATCGTCTCTTCTATTGAACGTTCTCTCTCCTTCTTCTCTCTTGAAAAATGGTTTTCTCTCCCCATCACCACCTCGGTTGAACGATCTTTCTCCATCATCTTTACGATTGAACGATCTCTCGCCATCATCCCTCTTAAAGAAAGGTCTTCTTTCGCCATCGCCACCGCGATTGAAAGATCTCTCACCGTCCTCTCTTTTAAAGAAGGGATTGCCTTCTGAATCGTCTCTCTTGAAGTAAGGCTTTCTTTCACCCTCTCTATCGAAAGATCGACGTTCGCCACCGTCTCTATTGAAAGATCTACGCTCCCCACCCTCTCTGTTAAAAGATCTACGTTCGCCACCCTCTCTGTTGAAAGGTCTGCGTTCATTAGCGCCGTCTCTATTGAAAGATCTGCGTTCATTAGTGCCTTCTCTGTTGAAAGATCTGCGTTCACCCGAGAAAGACGACGCGGGGTCATGGTCCTTGTCAGACCATGCAGCGGCATCTGACACCTTCTTCCAATCACTGCTATTTCTCTTCATGTAAGTATCGTTGGTCCAGTTACTGGACTTCTTGGCTGTAGAGATATCCTGTACTTCTTCCTTCTTCCAAGCATCTGTCTTTTTATATTCTTCAGGATGGTTTGTCTTGAAATCCCGTCTACGCTCACCCATGGCTTCATAACGGTTTCTTTCTTGACGTTCAGCTACTTCTCCTTCAGGAACATAATTGCTCTTCAAGATACGACGAATACCCTCGACAGATAAAGTGAATTCCTTGGACAATTTGACAATATCGTACACTTCAGGATCCTATATATGAACATCCTTTAGTTTCAAGTGTACCCACACAATAACAATACACTTACAGCAGCAGCTAAAGCACGAATCTTTTCCATCGTAGGTCGGGACACACGCTTTTTGGGAGCCCAGTTACCTTCTTGTTCAGTTGTGAACAGTCTAGCAAAGTTAAACTTTGGTTGAGTAGTTTTCAATGTTAACGATCTAAGCATTTTCAGAAAAGTTTTGACAAGAAGGAAAAAAAAAAAAAAAAAACTTTTGTCCCCGCCCCCATGAGAGTATATTAAAAAAAAAAATTATGCAAAAAGGCCGTCCCTTAGGATACTAGGGCCTGTTGCATTTCAACAAGCTGAGCATTCCCAACGGTGTATGAAAATAGCAGGAAAAATCGTTTTTAACTCTGATAATTACGCTTGTATCAAGAGAAAAGTTTAGATATCATCGTCACATTACATTAGGTATGGATCGTCATACTGCTGAAGACCGTTTATAGACCAAAACCTTGGAGCGGGTAGATGTTAATGGCATTGAAAGTATTACGATCTGATAAACCAAGAACGGAGAACATTAATTATAGGTTGAGCATAGACTTTACTCTTGTCATTTGATGTATTGATATTTTGCTGACCTATCTGACTAATGTTCATATAATCTGCACGGAAGGAAAGAAAAAAATTAACTTATTGTCTAACTTCATATGTGCTTCTTTGGTATTACTATCAATAATAAAGGCTATATCTATATGATAAGAAGGTATTTATTTAATAAGTCAATCGCACTCTTACCGAGACCTTGACAAAAATACCAAACAGATATGAAGTTGAAACCTTGACAACCAGGTAAAGACCATAAAATATTCGTCAGTTGGGACCTTGAGGGAACCACCAGATGAAGATATGACATCTTGATTTTATTCCGCAATGGCCTGTCAATAAACACATTATCCTCCAGAGGGTGACCGCAGTTTATAAGGCTTCCTTGAATAACTAAATTATATGAAAAATCAGGCAGACCGAGACCAGTACCCATTCATTGCCTAATTACTTCTTGTTTTACTTTACAGACATATTAAAATTAAAGGGTACAAACAGGATTTACTAAAGGTACTTGGGAGACCAATGTCTGTTTTCCTTGTTCATATTCTATATATACGCCATAGAACCAACCTCTGAAGGGTGCTAGAAAGAATCAAAAATACACTCTGGCAGTGTTCTTCGTCACCTCTTCAAATCCTGCCCTACTTTATAAACACATCATTGCCGATGAATACAAAAAAGCAAACCCAAAGCAGAGTACATGGGTTCAAGATGTATTAAGTAAAGTAACTAGAGGGTTTGTTACGAATGATTGAATGACGTGACCTCCCTTCTAAAGACATTTCTGGTCTTGATTCGATTACAAATGCTGTTCCTCGTATAGTTAGAATAGTATATTCTCTTTTAATCTACCTTAACTATCATCGGATTCTACAAGCTGTCTCAAAGTACTTCACTTGCTTCTATTTTTTATCCTTAACTATCACACTTACGGCCAAGAGTGAAAAATAATTTAAAAATCCTTCATGTGATCCAGCTTTAAAAAAAACGGATCAGGTTCGATTTACATTTCTTAAACTTATCTATTTTAAGCAGGCGACATTGAATATATCCTAGGATGTTGTAAAGGACCTGATCCGTTTTTTAAATATTCGCATGATTTTTTTTTTTAAAAAAAAAACTACCCATGTTTAGTAAACCTCTCTAATATGACTTACTCGTAAGCTTGAATTCTTATTTCCATTGATGGATCAGTACATTCGATCGTTTGTCTGCTACAATGTCACTAGGAAAAAGGGCACATTTTATAACATACACGTCATTGACTTCCTGGGTTATACACCAGGCCTTATTGTTGAATCGGTATTTTCCTTTAGCGCCATACTGAATAGAACTCTATGTATGCAAAACCCTCTTTTTTTTTTTTTTTTTGGAGAATATCCTGTTCAATCAACAGAATATCTAGTAATTTACCTTTGTAAACACACTTTTGTCTTTTCAAAGTAAAGCGACAAGAATGTGACTGATACTATATTTGTAAAACCAATCTGTGATCGAGAAACATGGATTTAGATGCAAGGTATGCTTGGACCATATAATTTTTGCTCTTTTAAAATAGGACTATATGTGACCAACAGAACAGTCCACAATTCCAAATTAATGGCAACTCCAAGAAAATTACAGATATCAATGAATTATCTTCATTCACATAATTATGTAAGCGTAAATTTACAACCTGTAACTCTACGGACGCTATGTACCGGCACAGTTTTTCCTCAGCCTGTTCAACTGATCCCAACTTTATAAACTCTTAAAGGATACCGCAGGCAAATTAAAGGTCAAACAGATGTTTTTATTTATAAGTATTGTACAGCCTTTTTTTTTTTCGGGAAAAAAAAAAAGACGCCCATAATGTTTATTCAAACAATTCTCACGTGAAATAGCAGGATCATTTTCCTGAATTCCTGGTAATCACTTGATAGTAGTGAGTTCTAGGTCCTTTTTTGGAAACGCTGTAATAAGCTAGCTTCGCCACAAATATAATATATATATAAAAAAAATAGACTCCCACGATAACCTTATAATCTAGCAGATGGGGCAAGCTACAAGTTAGTATATACAGCTGCCGTCGGACGCACCAACGAAAATACAAGACTAAATAAATTCTATATTACGGGATCAATTTTCTCTATCTAAAACTATAATATATTTAAAAGAAATCTTGTTTGTTTGACCATCTGATTTTATTTAAAGGAGTCACCGTTCCATCCGTACAGAAAATGCTTACTGGATAAAGCAGAAGGGGGCGAAAGCTCCTGGGCAATATTTGTTATTAATTCAAATAAGCAGCTGATTTTTATTTTTTCTATATTGATTCTGGGTCTTCATTTTGCCTTTTGGGCAATGTAATTGTACCTTTCAACACCCATTTTACGGTAGTGAACTAAGCAACAAAATGTCGGAGCTTTATTTCATAACATTTCCGCCCTTAACAGAAATCTAACTTGACCGCTAAATTATACACGTCTGTGATTGATCATCCCAATTCAGTCCGTGTCAGATCGACTGTGACAACTTCTGATAGTAATCTCTATCTGACCCCCGTCCCATTGTTCTTCAATGTTACACGGCTTCTTTTGGACATTATTTCCTCTATTTTTGACTACTGACGATTTTAAATTATAATGTCAGATCGCAATTGTTCTATAGTCTAGTGGAATTCCTACTACTTTGTACTATTTCAAGTCAATCTTCCTGAAACATTTGGCATACTTCATATTTGGAATGTGTATGATGTGAAAATACTGCGTAAATCAAATATATATTTTATTTTTACAATAGTGTGCTGTGCCTTGTAGTCAGGTGTTGTCTGAGTGTGAGACTAAAATACTCCAAGGGTACACGTACAGGCTGAATATCAATACACAAAAGTCAAACAGGGTCTTACGAACCGACAGATAATCTAACTATAACTGTCGACACAATTTAACTGAAGTTAAACAGAGGAAAAACGAAATTCAATTGACAAAAAAGAACATTTGAGAACCGACAGAACTCACCAGCTTGATTGTTGTATAACAAAATGGCATGTAGCACAGTGATGTGTGACACCATCCCGATCTATTTATACTTTGCGTAACCTTTGACGTATGTAAATAGTTTATTAAAAAAAGGAAAAGAAATAATAGGGCATATCAGTGTATATATATATATATTATGTATTGGGAAGGAGGGGAAGAGGTTTAAGGGGATGGGGGCATGATTTATAAAAAGAGTGGTAGGGGTAAGGGAAAGACTTCTATATAGACATATAATTTTTTTTAAATACAATTTATGGTTTTGTTGAATTGCTTCGTTTAGTGACTGATGATTTACGGCGACGACTTTTTAAATTTAACAACAAGACACCTGTGGTGGGATAAGTATTTGGTATTGGCACAGGTTCGGGAGAGGGTTTGGGTCTGGTGGGATAAGGAGAGGAAGATTTACGTAACTTTGCGCGCAAGGCTTCCATGACCTTATCATGGTCTAAAGGTTCCGGTGGTGGAGGTGGGGGTGAATTGGATTGTCGAATACTCATATCACTTAACGTCATGACACTTTCGTAAGATAAGGTTCGATGGATATTTTTGGGCGACTTTTTATTCTTTTTGGTTTTCGATGGAGGCAAAACAGTGTCTTCCGAAGCAGGTGGTGAAGAAGATAAGACTAATTGATCGCCATACAAATCGAAAGAGGATGATATAAAATCCATTGAAGGTGAAGAAGACGAAACGCTCACATTCTCGGTGGCCATACCATAATGGAAGTCACTGGTTAACGAATTATCTAACCCTGCCTGCAAGGAAGAATTGTTGCCACCATCGTCGAAGTGATCTTGGTGCTCCATTAAGGAATGACCAAACAAGGTCGATCTACCGTCGTTCTGTTGACCTAGTTTTACACGTGAGTAAAAGTACCATAAAAAAAAAGGCTTTATGATAATTACCATAGTTATCTTGTCTCTGCGTCAATTCATATTCAATAAATTTTGTTTGTAAACGCGCTTCTTCAACTTGACGTAATTCCTCTGCTGTACGTCTCTATTTTAAAAATAGGTTTTTAAAATTTTATGCTTCTTTTTTTTTTAAAAAACAAAAAAAGCTGTATTACCTTGTCCTCTTGGGCCTTTGCTACAAGTATATGGTTCAACAATTGAGAATTGTCCTGATATTTCAAGAGAATTTCGCCTACAGAGATATCACTAAGACTTCTGGAATGTTGAGATGGATAAGACAAGTTGCTGTTGTCATGTTGTTCATTCGTTATTTTCGGAGGCATAATTTATAATAATAATAGTACAAAAACGTTTATCATGTAACAAGCTTAGTAATAATTTAAAAAAGAAAGAAAGAGAATAAGAGAAACAATTGCATGGTTATATAAATCAAAAAAAAAAAAAAAAAGTTAAAAATAAATTCAAATTCGGTAGCTTAAAGTCGGTGCGTCAACTCTATAGTCAAATACATCATATGCTTTTCAATATACCAAAGGAAAGGATTAAACCACGTTTTGTGTGGCAGTTCAAGGTACATTAAGGTTCAGAAAATGTAAGAATTATAAATAGAGATTTGAAATAATTATAAGCGTAGATCATTATAATAATAGAATAAAACCGAATCACTGGGAAACCATTTTCCACCACAAGAAGGTGCCTAAAATATTTCTTCTAAATCTATTGTTAGGCAGCTGTAACTTTTTTTTTTGACAGGTATAGCTTAATAATGATCTAAAAATAATATAATCTCAATTTACATGAGTTTAAATGAAACTTTTTATTGTGCACTTTCTGCGATTATTTATTTTTTCTACCGTTAATTAAAAAAGAGTTTAAAAATACTTTTTGAGTTTTTACCACAATAATTTTCTGTGTTGTGACAATTTTTATTTTTAGCTTATGGCTTGTTAAAGAAGTGAATGAGCCTATTGATAGATTATTTATATTACCAGGCATAAGGTAAATCATTGTACTTTTTGTAGAATGAACATTTTGTCGCACTGATTTTTTTTTTTTTGCTCTTTTAAAAATACATTGTTGCTTGTTGTAGCACATGAATTATTTCACAAGGTATCACCAAATACATTAAACCTCTGCGGGAATCATACTGGGTATGCCATACTGTTGTATACATGCAATTCCTCCCATCACGCAACACATAAAAACCGAGTGCGCTATTGTGCGACGTAAGATACGCCCTTCCTGTCCCTGCAATCCAATTGTGGATACTCCTGTCGTCAGGTTTTGGGGCGAAATCATTTTACTTGTGATTGCTCCACTGGAATTAGTAGCTGCCATTAAGATAGCTGATAGCCCAATTTCTCTTGCTGCTACAACTTGAAGGTTACCAAATAGGGAATTGGCTGACGTATCGCTTCCTGATAAAAAACACGCTAAAAAAAAAAAGAGAGAACATTAGCCACTCCAAACATTACCAGAATTCGGTGCCTTACCAACCCAGCCAAGCCAGGCCGAAATAAAGGGAAAGGCTTTACCAACAGAGGCTAATTGATACCCGATAGTGTAGACTATGCCTAAAGGAGAACGCATTCATATTTATATGGGCATTTCTAAAAGTGGCAATATGCTTGCATGTGTTGACGTACCTGAATAATTGTACAAATATGCAAAGGCCATGATAAATGACACTGTAATTATGGGCTTGTAAAGTTGTACTACAGTATCTCTTAATGCAATTTTAAAAACGCGGGGATGAACTCCATAAAGCAACACAATCACTGAAAACGGAATAGAAGCAACCATAATAGCGGTTCCTGTGGCCAGTGGTTGAAAACTCCAGATCGCGTCGTATTTTTTTCCATACAATGTTAACCAAACCTTAATAAGATTTCGTATTATTAATCATGGTCTAATTTTAGTGACAACCTAAAGGGGGGGGGGATTTACCTCTTGATGAAGATGTGGCCATTTCACATCAATTTGACCCTTTGTGGAAACTTTGGCAAAAGTCCAGCTATTATTATAACAAAACAGGGTTAAATTTCTTTTGCACATCTCCTATTAATAGACTCTTAACTTCTTACATGATAACAACAACAACAATCAGCAGCCAGGGACTCCATGCGAGCAGCGTATACTTTGCAGAAAGCTTATCGACACGACTCGAGACTTGACTTTCTGCATCACTTTCCTTCTCTTCTTTTATCTCTTGTGCAAAGATATCCTCCTCCTGCTGCTGCTGCTTAAGCATGGAATTGATATTAGCCTCGTACTCCTTTCGGTAACGCGGTTTCCAAAATTGAACAAAGGCAATCACAGAGATCAATGAGACTAATCCGGCGATTAAATCCGGGAGTTCGGGGCCTACCAAGTTTGCAAAAATTCCTTGCATCAAGGCAAATGAAAATCCGGCTACCAATGCCACTGGCCAGCATTCAATTAATCCAGCTCGAGGTCCTGCGTAGAATAACAATGCATAGGCTGGTAAGAATAGACTGAATATAGGTAACTGTCGACCCATCATGGCAGAAAGCGCTAAAACTGGTAAACCTGTTAAAGAGGCGAGCGTTGTCACAGGTATACCAAGTGCTCCAAAAGCTACTGGAGTCGTGTTAAAAATAAGTGTATAAACAAGAGCGTCTTCTGGATCAAATCTACAATGATATTGAAAAAAGTGATTGAGTCAGCTTTTGACACAACTACAAAAAAAAAAAAAAAAAAAAAAAAAAAAAAAAAAAGATCGTCCTCACTAACCCTAAAGCCACCATCATGGAGGAACAAATGGCGCCAGGTACACCAAAACCTGCCACGCCTTCTAACAGGGCGCCGAAGCAAAATCCAATAATGATCAAAATAATTCTCATATCGGGTGGTGTACTAGATATCATCCATTTACGAAATAAATGAAATATCCCAGACCGAACTGTAATATTATAAATATACCTAGTAAAAGAGAATGTTTTAAAAAAAACGCCTCACCCCATCATTTTCCTCTCTCTCTCTATTTTACATTGCATTGGCAACAATCCACATAATTGGCCAGTTGGCATATACTACACCATTACCAATAGATTCGAATGCTTGTGTTGCTGGCATTTTCCAACCAAAGATAGCAATAAAGATGCTATTGTTTACAAAAGGGGTTAAAAATGCCGTCAAAAATACTACAAAAAAAAAAAAATGTTTACCAAACAACCAGACCTGTTGATGCAGCATAATACGCTGGCACTCGAAATACGCCCAACATGATAAGAACAATAATGAGTGGTATAATGCCAACAAAAAATGACCCAATCAAGCTATCATTGATCGGCTGTAGTTGTTGAATAAAAATCCCTGATTGAATAATCGATTCTGGAGGAGGAAGACCTAATGCCATGATAGATTTAATAAAAGAATAAAAACATTACAGAAGGAGAAGGAGAGAAAAGAAAAGAAAGATTCGCGGGAATTTATTATGATTTGATTATGCGCTAGATCATGACTCTATGATTCTCGAGACATATTCCCCCTCATTTTTATGTATGTATGAACGTCATTTCCCACAATATCAACGGCAATAAAAAGTAGCAGTTTATTCTATAATTAATGATAATGTTCAGGAAGGATCTTACGAAGCACGCCTACAAAATAATATATGGATTTTAGCATGGAATAAAATTTTACAAGAATAAAGGAGGCGATTACCATCCAGAATAAAACTCGTTAATCCCCACAGCTCCTTCTCTCCATGCACATGATCAGGTAGTTTAAATACAGTGTACTCGCGTTTGCTCTCGCGAAATTGTTTGGTAATTCTCACTTTGGGATCAATCAGGTATTCGATAGGCAACGTGAATACACTAGATACCTCATCGGGATTAAATCTCGTAAATAAATCATCTGATTCTGTCTTTACATATCCCACATAAGGGTGCACACGCAGCGATCCTGTCTTGTTGGGTAAAGCTGAGTAACATCCTAATATATCCACAGCAGAAGGTTCCAACCCGATTTCTTCATGCGTCTCTCTTAACGCTGTATGCTCTAACGTTGGATCTTCCGGCTCTTTTGTGCGTATGTGTGTAAAAAAAAAACGGGGTTTAGCATAAAGCATGACTCGCATAGCTTTCAAACGACTTACCTTCTTTTCCTCCTGGAAAACTAGACGAAATGTGAGTTGATGAGACATGCGTCGTATGTTACTAGTTACCTAATTTCTCCCTGATGAGTTCTCATGTTCTCATTGCGTACTGTAAACAAGACACTGGGTTTACCCTGGACTACACATAAGGGTACCAGAACAGCTGCTTCCTTGACATTAGGTGCATAAGGTAATTTAAATCGAGGACAGTTTAACAATCGCTTGCTAAACAGGGACAACGTTGTGGTATCGAAGACGATAGGTGCAGTACGAGATATCATGGGAGAAAATAATTTTAAGGGGAATGCAGGCGGACACAGCACCACCTTTTTTTTTTGTCATTGAATATCAGTCATGTCGGACAAAATTTATTTTTAGACTATTTTCTTTCTAACAGGTAAGAGTTGATTCAGACCTTTATAATAGCCGTGCTAACTTCATATCCCTGAGATCATTATGACGCTAGAGAATTTATGGGGTAAATGTGATTGTTTCAAGGACCCAGAGTGGAAGAAGGTAGACCACAGACAAGTAATGACCGCATGCAATTTCCTTTTTTTTTTTTTTTTTTTTTTTTCACTTAAACTTTGTGCCATGTAAATACAAAAGATAGGTGGTTGCACATACATTGATCGTTTGTGAAATAACTACAAACTAGTAAAAGTGGTACCAAATAACCTATCCCCGGAACTCCCCTTCATCTCAAAAAAGGGTTTTGATGTAGGTAATTTAAGTTATTTACGTAATTGGTTAAATCTAGGGCTATTTAAAGGCTATGGGAAACATTTTTGTACCACCAATCATGGTAAAACAAATGCTATTGTCTACTTCAAATCATAAGTAAATCTCTTCTTACTCCACTGTTTGTCAGGACTCTACATACAGTCTAAAAACAAAAGTGCGTACGGAGTCCCATTCACGTACCAGAACAAAGTAGAACAAGTCTAATTATATAAAGGTCGTAAACGTTCATGAACTCTTTAAGATATATATAAATGAAGCGCTCTAAGTAGATTAGGTTACAAAAAATCAAAAGGTCTCACTTGATTTATTTTAAAAAACAATTACTTTAAAAGTCAATATTGGTAGTGCTCGCAACACCAAAATTATCGCTGAATAAGTATAATTGGGATAAACTTAAAGTTATATTTAAACAATTGTCAAACTCATGGTAGATTGACTAAAGCGATCATCAAAAAATGGGGTTGTATACAAATAGTATTACGTAATGTTTTCAAGCCACTTGTCTTTTTATAAGCTAAAAGGACATTTGCGCCCAGGACATCTAAATAAGTTAATCAAAGCACATGCGTGTTCAGAAATATCGACATTTATGCTTGTGATACTTGTTTGTCTCCTTTTACTATTGGTATACAATGGTTCTCTATCCAAAATTGAGACTTTAAAATGCGACGGGACATAATATGTATATTACTGACACCACTGTGGGGGGGTTTTTTTTTGGTATGCTTATACATCAGGTCGTTATTGTGATTCTTGCAAGCAACGTAAATACTAAATCAAGATATATACATTCTGATATCTACTTTATTTTGGGATGAACTACTACGGATATGTTTATAAGAAGAGTATGTATCTTTACTGATGTCTTCCAGCCCAACCTTTAAAGAATAATGCATTACTGGAGCTCCCCAAACAGAAATTTACATCAGCAGTAAAAGCCCAAATAGGTGAGCAAATATGCATCATAATAATTATTACACTCTTATAAAGGGGGTGTTGATTTATTTGTCGGAAGCTAACGAATTCTATATGAAATGCCGGCATATGCGGGTCTTTCTAATGTATAAAGATTCGTTCAAATCTGGTTAGATAAAGCTATATAACTTGGGTGTTATGAAAATGACGTTAGAAACTAGACAAAGCAAGAAAGTTTAGAGCATCGTTTAAACTGCAAGTACATTCACCCTTGGTTTTATCAATTGTTGCATACATAATGTTATGAACGGAAATCATATCTTGTTATACAAATCTCAGTTCGAATACTTATCAAGGTTCTTTATCGCTACAAATTTCAATTCAAATTGATATCTACTAAACTGATTTGGCAAAGTTGATATCACACGTTTCTATATCATGTGGTGATTATTACAAAACGTATTTGTTTCATTGGATTCAACTCAAGATTCAGACAGATATTACAATGAAATGGATCTAGACTAAAATATAGAAAATTGCGAAACTTTCTCTAGTTACTCCTTAACGCTCTATCGTCTCCTATTGCTATAATTTACTTTTTCGATCTGTGATTGAGAAATGCTAGTCCTGATATATAAACATCATGCCACTTATTACTCCTTTACGGAAACTCTGGTACTTGTCTCTAATAATTTCGTAATTCGTTTTTTTTTGAGGTAGAGAAAGAGAGAGAAGTGTGTGTGTGTGATATAATAGGTAAAACTTTATTTGATTCCCAAAAAAAAAAAAAAAAAAAAAAAAATAGCTTAAATAAACAAAACAAAGGGGGACTTTTAAAACAAAACATTTATGTGTCACAATTGTAAATTGTGCAATGTAAAGGTGCTCGTATGATTATGAAACTACAAAAGCTTGAATCTATGAGTGCGTGTCAATTACCAGAGTTGTTATATATATTCATTTTGGTTTGTGTCTTCTAGATATTCGTTGCTTATCTCGATTCCTCATCTGCCGATTAATTTGCATACTGGATTTCATTGGATGAATACATTTGCGTAACAATCAAAGTCATGAGCACAATATGCATTTGGTAAATGTTATGGTTCTTGTTACCGAAACAGATTATTTATACAAAAAGACTGAAGTTTGTTATTCAGGTTGGTTTTTCTTTTTCTTTATAAAAAAAACATAAATTAAATATCATGAAAGGTAGATTTGTTCCGAAGCAACATTTGACACATTCTACAAATCCATATATTCACAAGTGCTGTGGCTGTATACATTTGAGAATGGGAAGTGCTCTGACATGCTTAATTTGGGCTGTAAGTGCCAAATCGACTTTTTTTTTTGTTTGTTTGTCAATAACGATTTTTTAGGGAATATCACTGTATTTTGCTATCCTTTCATTTCAATCTAGAAGTCGTAAGCATATAAACGTACAGTCAAATCAAGTGATAGTATATATTAATCATATTTTCAGCATTTTATTCGTTTATGGATCCTACTGGATTGTATATTTTCGGCGCAATCAATCTTATACTTTTCGGAGTCAGTTTGGGTACATTGATTTTGATTTATCTTGTAAGGCAGAAACAAAAAGTACAATAGAGTTGTAACTAAAATAAATCACAAATATCTAGAGATCACCTATGGGAATGAAGGCAGCGTCATTTATCATTAACTGTGTGGTGTTTGTTCTTGTGGTAGACATGACTGTAAACACAATATTATTCATTGTTCGACGCGAAGCTTATGTGAATTGGTGTAGTCAAGCAAATGCTAAATTACTTCACTACGCGCTATTTTTAAACGACGATCCCGATAAGATTAGTGAAGAAGACCTTTATAATTGCGGCCGAACTTGGGAGGATGAGTTGAAGTTTTCTGTGTTATCGACCATTGTTATGATTGCCGTTTATGTAAGTTATCCCTTATTTATATATAAAAAGAGACATGTAATAACACCTTTGATGCAATACAGCTTTATTTGGCTATCAGTATATTTTCATATAGCGTCAAACTTCGTTTTAGAATCAAGCATGAAATCATGGGTAGAATGCGGGGAGATATGATGGGAGGTATGATGTTGCCACCAGGTCCAATGTCCACGATTTAAAAAAAAAAAAAAAAAAAAAGTATGGTACAACCACCCCAAATCGGATTAGACCTTTTTTTTTTTTTTTTTGTAAATGATGTATTTTTTTATTTCTTGTTTTCTATTTTACCTTTTTTTTTTTCTTCTTATTCATAATTCTTCTTTCCCCTTTCCCCCTTTTTTTTTTTCAAATATTAAAATGACTTTTCATCGTATAAACCAGTACAAGGAAAAGAAGGCAGGAAAGGTTATGCCGACAGCAAAGTCGCACACATCGTCCAAAATATCAATAGATCGACCTCTTCCTAGGGCTCCAGCCCCTGGTAATTTTAATGTCAATTATACCACATTAGAAGTAAGAATACCCAATTATACATTTGGAAAAGCAAAAGAGTTGGCAGGAGCAGGTGGATTGATTGCTGTCTGTCTTGGAAAAAGGTACATAAAATTTTGTTGTGTGGAGTTTTACTAAATAAATAATCAGACACAGTGACGGTATTGTTGTACTGGCCAAAGTTTCACCCCACTCAGTACGTTTAGAACGAGAGTTTTATGTTTCAAAACGAATGCATTCCTTAGCAGGTGGAGAACAGTTTATTGCCGACGCCACTGAATATGTTTCTCTTGTCCAGGATGGTTTAGCAGCCATTATATACAGTAATGTGAAACAAACAGACTGCATTTACTTCGAGCAAGATCAAAAGTTAAAATACCAATCCCTCTATTCACTTGGACAGTTGACGAACACTGGAGACTTTTGGAAAGTACCTGTAGAGTCGTGCATACCAAGGTTTATCAACTCTTCTCTCGACATGTTTCTTGATTTTGCAATTGAATGTTGTTCAGCACTTCAGTTTCTACATGAAAATGGTGTTGTTCATGGCGAGTTAAGACCAAGTGCCTTTCAATGCGGATATACCGATGGAAAGCTACAAGTGAAGATCTGGAATTTCGGCGGCGGATTAAATTCCTATGAGGAATTACTTTTGACCAGTTCCAGATGGCGATCTTTTATGGCTACCACAGACGGCTCAAGTAACACCAACAATAGTTTAATACCCACACCTCCACCACTTCCTCCCGTGCCAATCACTTCCAGATTCAATCCACACTTACATGATAATCTCAACGAAGAACCCAATTATTTCTCTGACATGACTGTCCAGAACAGAAAACCTAATTCAAGTCGATTTTACTCTCCCAAAGAATTTCAGACTTCTCTAATTTATGTTAGTCCAGAACAAACAGGTCGGACATCCAATGCTCTGGATCATCGTGCAGACTTGTACTCCCTTGGAATCATGTTTTATGTCATTTTGACCGATCGAGCCCCTTTTGAAGGAAGTGCTATGGATGTAGTTCATTCGATTCTGTCAAAAAATGTACCTCTTGTACATACCATCAGAAAAGATATTCCACCCGTTATCAGCTCAATCATTGATAAACTAACAAGAAAGGTGAAGTATACCTCGATCAATTAAAGTTCAAGACCATATTAAAACTTTTTACCTCTTCTTTTTTTAGACAGTAGATGAAAGATATGACAGCGCATATGGTTTAAGAGAAGATTTAATCGAATGTAAAAAAAGAGTTGCTGCACTAAATCCAGACGAGGTAAGTTTTGTGGTATATTAGGTTTCTTAGTCTCATCCCTCCCTTCATCAGTCCTTGGTATTCTTTCCTTTGGGCTTACGTGATGTGAATCCCGTATTTAAAATATCCGATAGAACATATGGACGTAACAGGGAAACCGAATTAATCAGCAATATTATTCAAAACACATACACTATACATCAAGTTGAGAAAAGAAAGACCAAGGAGAACGATATAGACGAGGCAAAATCAACTGATATACAATCCAGTACATTAAAGGAAGCTGATACATTGCTAAGGACCAATGCTTCCACATCCTTGGATAATTCAAGCTGCCAAGTCATCGTTTTGAAAGGTCCAGGCGGAATAGGCAAAACCACATTGGTCACTACTTTAAATGCTCAAGCTCGTCATTGCGGCTATACTGCTTCCGCTAAATTCGACAAAAATCAAAAGAGACCTTATAATGGCTTGCTACGATGTCTATCTTCTATCTTGAGACAATTATTGACCGAGTCCGAACATGTCGTACGGGAATTTTATAAGGATTTAAAAGATAATTTAGGTCCCCAGTTCAGTAACGTCAGATTAATGGTAAATATGGTGCCAGAATTAAGACCCATCTTGTATGATTATAGAGAAAAAGTAAATGTGCCCGATGATGATGCTCTTTCATCCATATTAAACACCGAAACAAGATTTCACGCAGTAAAGATAACAAACTAAATTACTTACATTTCTCTGACTAATTTTCTTGTACCTCCCAGGTTTTTCTAAACATCATACGATGTATCGCAAGAAAAAAAATGATTACTTTGGTAAGCCTAAGCCCCCTTTCCCTCTCCCTCCCCCTCCCCCCAAAAAAAATGAGAGGAAGTAATATTAATTTTTTAATCCCACTAGTGCCTGGATGATCTACAAGAGGCAGGTCAGTATCTGTAGATTTATACATATATAAATATACACTTGTATAATAGGAGTGTCTTAATCCTCTTCTTCCTTTTAGATGAACCGTCTATTCATTTAATCAGTGCACTTATCTTATCACGTACCACAATGCTTGTTATACTCACCTTCCGAGATGGAGATGAAACACCACGTCGAGTTATTGAGATTCTTGAGAAATGTGGCAACCCTGTCACCATTATCCAACTTTATCCATTAGGCAATGAAGTCTTACGAGACATGGTTCTTGACACATTCTATAATACACACAGGACCACCACAATTCAATCGGATCTTGCACAAGAGCGAGAGGACAGATTAAATGTGATCCAACCGCTTGTAGACATCATCTACAGCTGGACTCGAGGTAACCCATTTTACGCTAAACAGTTTTTAAAGACGATGAAACGAAAAGAGGATATCTGGTTTGATTGGGCTGAAAAACATTGGAAGTTTCGTCTGGACAATATTACAAAGCTATTTAATCATTCACCTACACACGGGAAAAAGACCTCGAACCACGAAATTTTGATGATGACTGGCCATTTAGAAAATACAAAGAACAGCCAGGAACTATTCGATGTCAGAAATTTGGTGTCGCATTTACGTTCATTGGATTCAAACTCACAGCATTTCTTAATGTGGGCAAGTCTAATTGGACATGTATTTAACTTTAGAAGAATTAAATGGTTGATGATGGCGGGTGATATTACATCGGATGATAACAGTAGTGCAAGTAGCAAGAGTGATGCGATAGGATTGGAAGAGGAAGAGAAAAGATCGAGTCAGGCTATCTTGGGCCTTCAGACTGCACTTAGTGAAGGTATCGTTCAATTTAAAGCCGGTAACGATTTTCACTTCATCCATGATCGCTATTATCAAGCAGCTTCCATGTTGATCCTTGACCCAGTGCAACGCGAAACCATGCATTTAAAAATCGGACAAATGCTCATGCTGGAAGAAGAAGTAGAGGAAGATGACAACGTGTTCTTGATTGCTGATCATTTTGTAAAAAGCGCTCGTTTGATTCGATTTCTTGACAAAACAAAATGTTATCGAGATGTATTGATTCGTGCTGGTAACGAAGCAACGCTTTCGGGTGCATTACAGATATCCGCTACTTATTATGAATGCGCCATTTCTCTTTTAAACGAAAATATTGAACAACGTTGGGTGGATGGCCCCGATAGCTTCTTTTCAGAAACTCTCAATTTGTACATGAAAACACTCGAACTGAATTGGTTGAAGAATACAGAGGATGAAAGTACTACTCATGATATATCCGCAGATACACGAGAAAGCATGTTAAAACAGATTATGGAACATACACAGGATTTCCCTGTTGAAAGAGCTCAAGCATGGAGAATCCAGGCTCGTATTTTCTTCCAGCAGTCTGAATATCGAAAGGGTATTCATAATATTTTGCAAGGCTTGGAAGAATTAGGGATCGTCGTCGATTTGAATATCACCGACGAAGGTGTATTGCAATACTATCATGATTTCAAGCCTAGTATTACAAAGCCTGGTCTTGAGATTCTTTCGAAATTGGGTCCATGCCAAAATCAGAAGCAAATGGCAATTATGACATTGTTAAATGAAGCTTGTACAGGCGCTTATTGGGTAAACCCTATATTGGTAGATTTCTTTGCGCTCAAGTTATGCGAACTTTCCCTTCGTCATGGTTACACTCCGGCAAGTGGTGGTGGATTCATTTGGGTAGGCTGCACTGCCACACGGGCCTCCGAGTTTACTTTTGCTGCACAATTAGGTCAGTTTGGTGTTGCTATTAGTGAGAAATATGCGGGCAATTCTGAAATAGCAAGAGCAATTATTGTTCATCATGCCATGTTGGCCCAATGGACCGGTGTTCATGTGAGAGAGTATATTTATCAATATCAACGTGCTTACAAATATGCACTTGCTGGTGGAGATATGGTAAATGGCCGGATAATAAACAAACGAACATACACACATTCGAAATATGTCTAACCCTCCTCTCGATCTAGTTATTTTCATCAATGGCGTTATTCCATGTGGCAAGTACGCTGTATTGGACTAGCTGTAATTTATCAGAATTGCATTGGCATTTAAATCATTCGATGGAAGAATGCGATAAAGGAAGCTCTAAAGATGTCATGATTTTGAATATCTCACTATGGAGATCTGTTCTGGTATTTCAAGGAAAGACAAACGCTACTGACGATCCCGAGAAATTAATGAATGATCCCGATAGTAATTTTGATGAGCCTTCGTTTGTAGAAGATTTAAAAAGTCAAAGTATCAACTCTGGAAACCCTCTAAACTGGTAAGTATTTTTGATATCTATATGCTAAATGTTGAACCCCCTCTCTCTTTTTTCGTTCTTCTTATGTAGGCATTACAGTTTTAAAATGATATTATTGTTCCATTTTGGGTTTACAAAAGCAGCTTCGGAATTAGGATTTAAAATTTTCGATAACTCAGTCAATGAAGCTGTGTAATGAATCACCCCCTAAACCACCCTATGAATTGCATTCACTTACTTTCTCTTTTATTATATTAGACATCGTCATGTTGGTATTGCTATGTACTATCATAGTATAGCAGTCGTAGAGTCGCTTCGTGATCCAAGTCTCGATCCAGAGATCCGAGAGAAATACACTTGTCAATTACAAAAGAATAGAAAAAGACTAAGCGAACTTGCAGATCATTCAGAAGTCAATTATCGAATGTATCAAAAGATTGTCGTAAGTTTTCTATTTCTTTTTGCACTTTAAAATCCATACCTACAGAAACCAACATTCATCAATTTTTTATTTTTTAAAACAAAAATGCAGGAAGCAGAAGTATCCACAATGGAAAATGATATGCCTCGAACCCTCAAATTATACGACGAAGTCATTGAACTCGGGTTAAAAGGAAATTGGTATTCTTTCTCGGGTTTGACTTTTGAATTGGCTGCACAATATTATATGCGTAGTGGGTTGAGTATGCTGGCCATACCCTTATTGTCTCGTTCCATCGAGTTTTACGCCCGCTGGGGAGCGTTCGGAAAGGTAGAGTATCTCAAAAAGAAATATAAGGACGAGTTAAAAACCCAATCCGTGTCCGGCTCTGAAGACATGGCTGTCCAAACCGAAGATGTGATTGTAGGCACAACAACTGTAATCGATAAAGTTTTAAATGTGTGGGACAACAATAGTGACGGAACAACTCCTGATTCCTCACTTAAAGAATTATACAATAATGAAAATCCTCCAACAGCTATCGCAACAACAATTACACAAGAAGAAGCACAAGAGGTGCATGAGGAAACTTTGTTCTCTCTGGATATGGTTGATTTAACTTCCATTATCAAGAGTTCTCAAGGTAATTGAAATTATTCGCCATGAAGTTACATATTTATCCCGTTGCTCACGTATCTGTAGTTATTTCAAACGAAATGAATTCATTTGACGAGCTTTTAAAGAAAATGATTGGTATTATCATGATTAATTCGGGCGCAGAATCTGGTGCTATTATTATCAAGGAAGGATTTTTTGGAATAGCGGCTTATTCTATTCGATCTACCGAGCCCACATGTCAAACCTTTGAACCACCTATCCCGCTGCGCGATGATGATGACAAAATTACTACTTCAATAGTCCATTATGTCATTCATACACACACAAACCTGTTCATTCCAAATGTGGAAGATGATTCACGTTTTGCAACAGGTTCCAACGGCCAAAGAAAATGTGCAGTTATCTGTATGCCAATTATGCACAAGAGCACAATTGTGGGGGTTTTGTACCTACAAGCCAACCTCAATACATTCACCAATAAGCATGCCAATGTTTTGGCTCTTTTATGTGACCAGATCGGTATCTCTATCACCAACGCTCTTCTATTTAAATCCGTACAAAAGGCCACAAAAGCCAACGCCCTTATGATCGAAAGCCAACTCAAGGCACTAGAAGAAGCACGTGCCAGTCGAGAACAAGCGCTTCGGGCCACCAAGATGAAATCGAATTTTTTGGCCAACATGTCTCACGAGCTGCGCACACCCTTTTCAGGTTTCTATGGCATGATTTCGTTATTAAGTGAAACAAGATTGGACGCTGAACAACGTGAGTTTGTGTCGATTGCCAAACAAAGTTGTGAAATGCTGTTGCATATCATTGACGATTTATTGGATTTCTCCAAGTTGGAAGCGCACAAGGTAAAACTGCACTATGGCTTGTTTTATATCGAGGATTTGATTGCGGATCGAATGGAGTTGCTCATTACGTTAGCGACCAACAAAAATGTGGAGTTGTCCTATTTTATTGATGCTGATGTCCCTTCCATTGTGTATGGTGATGGTAATCGAATTGGTCAAATTTTGATGAATTTAATCGGAAATGCGATTAAGTTTACGCACCACGGTGAAGTCGTTGTACGATGTGGTATTGATAATGATGTCAATGATCCGGATCATGTCACTTTAAAGATATCCGTGCAAGATACCGGTATTGGTATGACAGAAGATGAAATCAAAGGATTATTCTTGCCATTTAGTCAGGTTGATGGTTCAACTACAAGGTAAATGAGGATACTTCGTCCCTATTTTTTTTTTTATGTCGTATTAAAATTTATATATATAGAAACTTTGGTGGAACGGGACTAGGTCTTTCCATTTGTCTTCAACTGGTGAGATTGATGCATGGTGACATTCAGGTTAAATCAACGCGTGATATCGGATCCTTATTTACATTCAAAATACGCGTAAAAAATGGTGCATCTGTAGCTGAACCTAACGCAGATGACCCGCGTGCCAGTTCAATGAATTTATTAATCACCCAATTGGGTCAACCTCGTATCCTCATGGTCTGCTTTGATAGAGTCAAATCTATGATCGAATCATTTATACCCTGGATCGAACGTTTAGAAAACCGAGCCAATATGGATGATGCAATTTCGCTGGCCCTCAGAAGTGCGGCGCAAGGAATTCCATATGATTGTATCATTATTGACTCCCCCTTAACTGAAGCCATGACCAAATTAGTTGCTGCAATTGAAAAGAATCCTCAACTTCAAAATATGCGTGTACTTTTATTGATTGCACCCACCGTAGAGAATATTCGTCGTCATTTTGCAAATTCAGGAATCACAAATAGCAATGAATCACCCCGTCTTCATCAAGTATTTCATCCATCGGTTACACAATTATCCAAGCCCGTACGACGCGCAAAGCTTTTGACAGTGCTTGTCAAGCTGCTTTCGAGCCCAGTGGTGACGATTGTTTCACCCAGCGAGAGTGCAGATTACAAGTCCTCAGAGATTGTGTCCCCTGTAAGTGCCACTACTACGAAGCGACTGAATATAGGTCTTCGTGTCGAGCTATCCCCTTACTCTACGCAAGGAAACCAAGGGTTTTTACCGGAAGAATTAGCGATCTTTAAAGGTCAACGAATTCTCGTGGCTGAAGATAACTTTATTGCACAGCGACTGATTGTAAAGCAGCTAGCAAAATTAGGATTTGTGGTGGATAAATGTAATAATGGATTCGAATGCTTTGATACTTGGAAATCGAAAGATCCCGGGTATTATATCTTGGCTTGGATAGATCACCATATGCCTGGTTGCGATGGTTTAGAAGCTACACGCATGATTCGAAGATACGAAAAAGAAATGAACTGTATACCTGCTTTACCGATTATTGCACTTACAGGTAAAAAAAGAAATTAATTAAAAAAACACGAAAAAATAATTTTACTAATGCTATTTCTAAAGCTGACATACAATCTACCGCTCAAGATAATTGTTTCAATGCTGGTATGAATGATTATGTCACTAAACCGCTTATGCAAAAGGACCTTGCTACCATTTTGAGAAAATATTGTTTAGGTCCCACAATCATCTAATGCAAATAAAAGTCCCACAAAATTGTAAATAAAGAGCCATACATATAAATTCTAGGGTCTTTCTAACAAAAAGGCTTTAATCCACTAGGCCCTTTGTACCATTTTCAAAGTTGTTTGACTGCCGCGATGTTAAGTTTTCTACGTCGAACCTAAATAAAAGGATATGCTATCAAAGCATAAGAACATTTTATGAGCTATTACGCAAAAGTATAACGGTCAATCATGCGACTAATAGAAAAAAATTCAGAGGTACAAATAAGGTAAGGCTATTCATTTAAGCGTCTTTTCTTGATATGGGATTCTTTATTCTCTAGTTCATTATCCTATAAAATAAAAGCTATCAGTAAAAAAAGTCTTATGGAACTAGGAGGTTAATAGACAGTACCGATGTAGTGGATCCATGCCAGCTTGGATTCTTTAATACAGATTTAATCTCTTCAGCATTTTTCAAGACATCCATCCAAATGTCCAATAATCCGTTGGTAACGTCGACAGTGTGATTAAACACGGCAAGCTGATCTTTTGTTTTACTTAGATTGTCCAAGACGTTTTCAAAGGTGCGATTCATCATCTTTAAGTTCTCATATTCTTCCTTGAGCTCTTGATTGTATTCTGCTGAATTGTTCGGATTAGGCACAATAGGACCATTTTGATTTACGCCACGCCCAAGAAATGTCGATCGACGGCTTGATCTAGAGAATGTGCTTTGTCGATGGTTGGGTAATGCGCGTTCAGGATTCATTATTGATTTGAGGGTAAAACGGAGGGAGAGAAGGGGAGTGAGAACACTAAGAATTTACAAGCACCGCTTCAGCGGCATTTTTGTGACGCTACTTTTTTTTTCCCCCAAGTGAGACAGGTTGAATCAAAAGCAGTGAATGCCCTGCTAGTTTTTTTATATTAAAACATTGTAATCGACATTTGTGGGACCCATTTGTATCTATTGTAAAAAGCTGGTAATTTCCTAATAAGCTGATAATCATATTCTTTTAATATCGGATGCCGGATATGTCCTGCGAGTCATAGAAGCACAAATGATCTGAGTCATATTGAGTCTTACATATTTCATAAAAAAAAAAAAAAAAAATGAAAAAAAAATCTAAAGCACTTTCCAATTGATTGGCTTACCTAAACATTATCGTGTTATAATATTACGTTAGGTACATTGGATGTATTCTTTGATAATGCAGCATGTATTTTATGAAGAAGATGATTTGTTTAAAAATTTTGTGGGGTTATTCGTTGCAAAAGTTTATTTTGGGTTTGATACCCAGCATTCTGTATTACTGGAGGGGTGGAAACCCAAGCAAGAAAAGATAAAAAAAGCCCTGCTAACTCGTGAGAAATAAATAATGTAATCGTAGATAAAGTTTGATGTGTTGACGATCTTTCTTTAATCCCCACATACAGTAAATCAAACAAACACCCATACAAAATCAAATATTTTTTTAAACGCCTCTACTTTTCCTATCCCTAAACCTTTCTTATCGTTTTTGGATTAAATGCAAAAAAAAACGTCATTCATAATAGAGTATACGCTACGACTTTAGCTTCTTTTGATAGACGTCATTGAAATATAAAGATTTACAGCTTAACTAATCTGATTTCTCTTTAGTATCTGGATTGATCTCATAGTTTTTTTTTTTTTTTTTTCATGATATCCCAGAATTGTTTAACTGGGTATCTTCGCCATTCTAAAATTGAGTCTCACTATTTGATTTTTAGTATAAATTAAGAGCTATTGACTTTTCTCTTGTTTCTGTGTTCTTTTTTTTTTTAAATCCCTTTTACTCTCTTCATTTATTTCTTTTTTTTTATACATATATTTTCTGTGATTTATTAAAAGCGATATGCCCTCACATCTCGATGCCAATACAGGCGACGCTCCCGGAAAGATGTCAAATAGCTCAGGCTTTTCATTTGGTGGACATTTGGAAAATAAGAACTCCATCACATCCATTGAATATGAACCTTCCATAGCCAGCCGTCACTCCTCTATAGAAGATGAAGGACCCGTTGTGACACCCCATATGGGCCTTCTTAGTAGTTGTAATATGGTAAATTGATCGAATCCTGCATTTTTTTTTTCCTTTTTTTTTTTTAATTTTACATATTTTGGGTGGCTTTTCTTAACTAAATTTTTTTCTTTCCTTCTTTCTGCAGATTGTTGGTCTTATTATCGGTAGTGGTATTTTTGCTTCACCCGGTCCTGTTACACTAAAGGTTCACTCTGTCGGTGCCTCTCTTGTCATTTGGGCTATTGGTGGTATCCTCAGTATGATCGGTGCCCTCTGTTATGCTGAGTTAGGTACTATGATCACTAAATCAGGTGGTGAATATCAATACTTGAAATATGCATACGGCCTTTGCGCCGGTTTGACATTCAGTTGGGCCAATCTTTTATTAACCAATCCTATTGGTACTGCTTCTATCGCCACCGTCTTTGCTCAGTATATTATGGAAATGGCTTACTTCGATCCCGAGAACCCCGCCGCTGCTAAGGCCAACATGCCTAGTTACGCCTTGAAGCTTGTAACTATCGGTTGTATCTGGGTAGTTGTTCTCTTTAACGCGTTCGGAAGAAAGGCCGGTGCCATGATTGCCAACGTCTTTACGGCCGCCAAATTATTAGCTCTTGTTATGATTATCATTATTGGTTGGGTTTGGATCGGTAAAGGCAATGTTCAGAATTTCCAACATGCCTTTGATAACAGTTCTTCCAATGCGCTTGATTACGGTACTGCCATGTATATGGCTCTTTTCTCTTACAACGGTTGGAACAACTTAAATTATGGTATTGCCGAAGTCAAGAACCCTAAGCGTATTCTTCCTCTTGCTATCACCATCTCATGTACCATTGTTACTATTGTATATATTTTGGGTAACATTGCTTACTTTGCTACTCTTCCCGTTGATACTGTCTCTACTTCCACCACTGTTGCTATGCAGTTGGGTATGGTTGCCATGGGAAAGGGAGGTGCCTATTTCTTTGCCCTCATGGTTATCTTCTCTACATTTGGTGCAGTGAACGGTAATGTCTGGGCCGCCTCTCGTCTCATTATGGCTGCCGCCAATGAAGATAGTGTGTATATGCCTCCCTTTTTTGGTAAGTTGGATGAAAAGCGTGATACACCTATTCGGGCTCTTGTCCTCGTTGGTGTAATTGCTACGATCTGGAGTATTCCTGGTGATTTCACATATCTTGCCAACATGTACAGTTTCACGGGTTGGTTATTCTATGGTATTGCTATTTTCGGTTTGATCTTGATGCGATTTAAGAAGAGCACAAAGAATATGCACCGTCCTTTCAAGATCTGGCTTCCGTTAGCCATGTTCTTTGTACTGATCGATATCTATCTTGTTATTGCACCATTGATTGATGCCGGCTCTGAAGGTGTGTACCAGTATATTATTTGTATTATTGTGGGGCTTTTGGCTATTCCTATCTGGTTTGTGCGTGTCAAAAAGCCTTGGATCGGTCGTAAACTCTGGGGCTGGATTCCCGGATATCAAGATGCCGGTATTTTGAAGGCCCGTGAGAGAAAGCAAGCCAGAAAGGCCCGCGATGCTGCGGCTGCTTTAGAACAAGAAACTGCTTTAGAACAACGTGCAAGTGTTGTCGTTGATAGCGAAAAAATCCAATACTAGTTTTTCCCCTTTTTTTGTTTTTGTATTTTTAATAATTGAAAATGGGATTTCTTTTAAATGATCAATACCCTTCCTACTGAGATAAAATAGAGATTCTAGTTTTTTTTTTCATTTCTCCTTTTTATCAATTACTTTTAAATTTTCTCTTCTTATAATAAACTACTTTTTACGTAAAAATGAAAATGATATGACATAGTTAATTGGACTCTGATGGATTCTTTAAAATTTGTAAAGGATTCTTATTGATCAATGTAGCGCTGAATTTGAAACCTCGCATCGCTTAGAATGTTAAATAAGTGACAGAGATGAATACACACCAATAGTTTTTTCTATTCCTTGAAAAGACAGATATATAGTGACTATATCAACCCTGTCTAATTCAAATGTTTGGTGGTGCTTATATATTATACTATTAATATATGTGATCTTGTATCATGAATAATAATGGTCAGCTTGTGATATTTCAACCGTATTTGGAGCGGTCCGAAAGCACCCACAAGCTCCGAAATTAAAAAGCTTGGCTTTTTTGTTGTTGACATCTATTTACGTAAAGCCATCTTGCTCAGTAAGGTTACCGAAATATTCGACTAAAGAGCCAACCAAATATTTAGCATTATTCTGCAATATGCGGTATATATATAGTTTCGTTTTGTTAGGCTCCTCTAAAAACTCTTTTTGTTAGAGCAAACTACGCCCTTCCCGCGGTGACATCCTTTAGTATTGTGAGTCAGTCATTCTGGAAGACCTTTTCTCAGTCTACTTATACTATGCTACAGAATTCTATCCAAGACCCAGAAAGATAAGAAAATGCATAAGTAAGTATCGCATGATCTTTATCTTGTTTTTTTTCCTTCCTTCAGGATAAAACTGTTACAAGACAAGGTAAATAAGTATGCAACATTATTTATTTGCCCAAACAGAAATCCGTGTGTAATGCATTTATTTCAGCAGTCATGGATTGTGACTTTTGATTGTACTTTTTTTTTTTTTTTTTTTTACCTTGCAATGTGCCATATAATTAATAGGTTAATCTCTTTACATTATTATTCCCAATGGGTAAGAAAGGAACCAAATCAGCTAGTGCTGCTGTCACAAGAAGAGCCTCTTTAACCAACGCCCATGTTGAAAGCGAGAACATCACGATTGTCAACCACAGCGATCCTGCTGATCACAGTAAATTCAGTGTGATTCGATCTGGAATGAACAATGACTTTGTCAAGGATATCCAGCACTGGGCTGAGTTAAAGGCCGAGTGCAACACAAACGAGGAGATTCGCAACAAAGTACGTCGATTACCGCTTGACCATGTTTTACCTTTGCTTCAAGAGTTGTTGGAGAAATTTGATGCGCAACAGGCACGTGATACTGAGTTGACAGAATGGATCAAGACTTTGCTCTTAATTCACACAGCCTATTTCATGACGCTGCCTGAAGTGGTTGAAAGATTATCTAGTTTATACAAGGAGCTGAATAATCGTTTAACTGTATATCCCAAGTTGTTGGCTATGCACGGTCGCTTAGATCTTATTCAAAATCAAATTGATGCTCGTAATAGAAAGGACGATTCGGATGATGAGTCGGATGCACAAGTGTTTAGTGATAGTGATGAGGAAGATGCTGCTGAAGACGATGCTGACTCTGACGACGATCTTGATGACTCTGATGATGATTTGATGGATATGGACGATGAAGAGGTAATTATTTAGGAATGTTCAGTTACGAAAATAGAGATATTTATCATTTCCATATTTTAGGGTGAGATGTTTGGTGAAGAAGAAGACGATTTAAATACAGAAGATGAAGATGATAATATCAGCGATAGTGACATTGAAGAATAAAGTCACCCTTTCCATCACCCATCCCATCCCTCACGTTCATATATTCACCCTCATTTTTTCCAATGTATAATAATAGTAAATAAAAAACTTGTGTTACACCACTTTTTTTTTTTTTTGCCTATTTACCCGATGTGTGGAGGCCGCAGATATTTTTTCTTTTTTCACTATAAAAAAAGATTCTTTTAGATTTGATTTCATTTTTCTCTTCTTTTATTCTTTATTCAAGAAATAAAATCCACTTATGCCCGTTTTTAGCCATTTTGCCAATAAAGTCAAGAGCAAGTTCAGAGAGAAAATCAGTAGTGTGGTTCAATCTGGAGAAGATGATGAAAATGAAAGAGAAGAAGAGTATTTAGCAGAGGGCCATCGTTTTGATTCCTTTGCACCCATTCGTCAAGAAGCTATGGTCAAGTACTTTATTGATGGCCATGATTACTGCTGGTAAAAATAGTAACCCTTGATATTTTAAATGTAAATATTTACATCATTTGATGGGCGTTTTAGGGCTGTATCAGAAGCAATAGAAAGTGCCCAGGAAGTCATCTACATTGAAGACTGGTGGTTGGTAAAGTCTATTGTTTAATGTTTAAAAATATACCATAGCGGAGAACTTATTTTATTTTTTTAGTCTCCCGAATTGGTAAATCATTAAAGAATATTCATTTTGGTAGTAAGTTAACTAATAAACATGTAAAAAGTACTTGAGAAGACCACCAGCCAAATATCCTGAATATCGAATTGATCAGCTATTAAAACGAAAGGCAGAACAAGGCGTTATGATTTACATTGTTGTCTATAAGGTTTGTTACAAGGCGCACAGAAATGACGTCTAGATCCTAATTCACGTGTAACGGCGTTTAATAGGAAGTAGAATTGGCTTTAACTCTGGATAGTGCTCATACTAAGAAAGCTTTGCAAGATATGCATGAAAATATTGTGGGCAAGTTATTATTTTGTGTATGAGGTGTAGTCATGCATCATATTTACCCATTTATTTATACATAGTCCAAAGACATCCTGATCACGCTGTAGGCGGTACCTTTTTTTGGTCTCATCATGAGAAATTTGTTGTGGTCGACAACAGGATTGCATTTTTAGGCGGTATTGATTTATGTTACGGGTAGCAATCCAAAAAAAAAAGAATATACATGTCTTCCACTTTCTATACTCATGATTTTGCATTTTAGACGTTGGGATACGCATGCGCATAGATTAGCCGATTTCAATACGGCTGACCCAAGTATGGAGATTTATCCAGGTAACTATAGCAAAAAAGAATCGCTCATATTTCATATCACATGTGGCTCACATACATGTGTAAAAAGGTCAGGATTACAGTGATGCGCGTTTAAGAGATTTTGAGCAAGGTATAAAAAAGAAAAACAATATAATGTTTAGGGTCTGAGTGAAAAAAAAATATTTAATTCCATATTTGTACAATTTATCCACAGTTAAAGAATGGGATATGAGACTGATCGATAAAACCGTGATACCTCGTATGCCTTGGCATGATATTTCGCTCTGTATGGTAAGACCGCTTTATTCAAATTTCTGTCTTTTTTTTTTTATTGTTACCTAAAACTTAATTAGCTCGGCCAACCCGTTTTGGATGTCGCACGTCATTTCTGTGACCGATGGAATTTCGTCAAACAATCCAAATCATTGGATAAGCAAAAGGCTCCCTTCTTAAAGCCCCCACTCGGTGGTTATAGTAGCTATCAAAGCTTCAAGATCCCACTTGAGAGCAGATTGTTGAGATCATACCACTTTGAGCACCAGACCTCGGGTATACATGGTTCATGTAAAGTACAGGTGCTTCGTAGTAGTGCTGAATGGAGTTCAGGTGTTCCATTGGAGGTATGTGTGTCTGTCGGAGGATGATGTAATTTTATCATTTCTGATAAGTTCTTTTTTTTTCTCCAGCATTCCATTCAAAATGCTTACATTGAAGTCATCCGTCAAGCACAACACTATGTTTACATTGAAAACCAATTTTTTAGTAAGTAATAGGTCATGATGATAACATGCATGTAGCTAATATATGCCTGATAGTTACTGCCACTGAAAAGGGTGATGAAGATATCGTCAAAAACCAAATTGGTGCTGCCATCGTCGACCGTATCATCAAGGCGCATCAAGATCAAGAGAAATTCAAGGTATTTGTCTTAATTCCCTTGATGCCCGCCTTCCCAGCCGAATTAAGCACCAAAGATGCAGCTACCGCCAGGTACACTTTTGAGATATACACATAAAAACCTCATATTGCATAACTAACTTGTACTTTTTTTCAGACTAATCATGTACTACCAGTACATCTCAATTTGCAGTGGCCAAAAGAGTATAATGGAAAAACTGAAGAGTGCTGGTATCGAGCCCGATGAATATATTCGATTCTATAGTCTCCGAAGCTATGACCGCATCAACCGTCCTACAATGGAAGAGACCTTGGCCCGTGATGCAGGATTTACTCCCCACAAGGCTGGTAGACCCTTGTTAGAGAATGAACAAGAGGAAAGACCTGTGCCTCCTGCAGGATTTGTCATGCCAGGACAAAGAAAGTCCTACCAATCAGTGGCGTCCGATACCATTGCTCCTGATGCCATGTCCAATCATCGTCATTCTGTGCTGGATGAGCCTTGGGTAAATGATGGAGCGATGCAGACACCTCGCGATGAAGCTGCTGAGAAACAAGAAGTCAGTGATTACGTGACGGAAGAGCTGTACATCCATGCTAAATTATTGATCGCCGATGACCGTGTGGTAATTATGGGATCAGCCAATCTGAATGACAGATCACAGTGTGGTGATCGTGATTCTGAAATTGCAATGATTACAGAAGATAAAGATATGATTCCGTCTCGCATGAACGGTGAGCCTGTAAGTAATACTATGTGATTGTATGTATCAGTATCTAATGATTATATTGCAGTATCAAGCGAGTAGATTTGCTGCTACACTTCGTCGACAGTTGTGGAAAGAGCATTTGGGTTTGATTGATGAGGAGGAAATTGACGTCGTTACGGATGCCATGTTACCTTTGCCTGTTCCTCAATTAGATTTTACGCAAACCAAGGAGGATCATTGGGTGATGGATCCATTGGACGATGATACCTTGATTCGTTGGAACAACACGGCTGCTACAAACACGAAGGCTTTCCGTGAAGTGTTCCATTGTGTACCCGATGACACAAGTAAGTTATAAAATGTTGTTTAAGTGAACCTGTAGTAATGATATAAACTAGTTGTTTCATGGAGCGAATATCATAAATTCTACCCTGATCCCGAGAAGATCAATTTAGGCCATGTTCATGATCCCGATATGCCAGTGCATGAAGTGCGACAACATTTAGACACAGTTCGTGGTCATCTCGTAGAATTCCCCACGAAATTCCTATCGTTTGAAGATCTTCAAGGAGAAGCTATTCCCTTTGTCGGAGCAGCCATGCAAGAGTTATACACCTAAATTTATTAAAACACTCCCATTTATACTTTTAAATAATATACTTTTCTGCCTAATCAACTGAAATTTTTGATAACCATACTCGAGATAATGCCTGTAATACATGTACAATTGTAACACCTTGATGGTTTTATCAATCTTAACCGCCAATTACTCCACGTACTGTTACATTTTTTTAGGCATGGAACTGAACCTCATTTTTTCCATTGAGTATTCTTTCCGCGTCTGCGCTGGTGAGCTTATTTGGTGATTTCAGATTTTTTTTTTTTTTTAAAAAGATTCGTCTCTGATTCGTCCAAAAAAAACAGACAGTGCTCAAATTTGAAGTGAGAAAAACTGTACGTCCCTTTGACTCCTCTTACCATTTAAATCAATGCCAGTCCTTTGTTCGCTTACCAGCTTATTAATCAAACCTCTTGCAGCCAAAAGCCTCGGGCCATTATCCTCCAATGTGATAAGACAACAACAGCCACAACAGCAACATAACTATAGCAGCACTAGACCTGTAGTGACCGAGAGTTCAATGTTGGACTCATATCCTCGACCTAACCTTCAACCCACCTTACAATCGTCTCCAGGCCTTTATTCCTTAAGATCAATCCAAAGCTGCTTTAACTGCTCTGGTCCTCATTCTACTGACTTTTGTCCTTGTTAATGTCGAGAAAAAAAAAAGTTGTTGTTGTACATATTCTATACCAATTCCCCCCTCTCTATATTCATAATACAAATCTCAATTAAAATTTATAATACAATTCTTTATTCGTTTTTTTGTCATGTCTTGTTTCTTTATTTAGCGACTCTGGCACGTCTCTTCTTTTGCTTGGCCTAGCACAAAATGTTAATATGACGATCTCGATCTTTTAATAAAATAATAACTACCTTGAGAGCACCCTTAAGCTTAGCGGTCTTGTTAGGCTTGGAAGCAACACCACGGACGATCATCATATTGTTAACAGTGGTAGCTTGTGTCATGAAACGACCAAACACATTCTTTGTTAAAAGTGAAAGCATTTTTGAAGAATGGGTGAATAAAGAAAAAAAAAAAAAGTTACAAGGTGACCAGGGTTTGGGCAAATGAATGCGGATATTCAAATTAAGCATGGCTCACTTGAATCTTTTAGAAGCATGTCGTTTAGATAGACTTTGCATCGAAGCTAACATGCCTAAATGTGTACCGTTGATCATGAACATCTTCTTATCAATTGCAGTTACACATGCTGTCAAAACAAGCTTTATTTGTCATCCCTTGTTTTTTTTTGTAATTAATGTTGTCAACCATAAAATGTTCGTTGAATTTAGCTTTTCATGATGATGTTAAATAGCATCAAAATCTGTATAGAAATTGGATTATCATCAAATCAATAGTAAAATATGAGGGGGGGGGGTATTTATTATTTGATTTAAATGTGTGTACATGGATTGTATATTACAAGTTTTTTTTTTTTTACAGTTGACGACTTCTAGGTCTTGACACCAACTCGATATCGTCATCCGATTCCTGATTTAGACCCGACAGATTTAAGGAAGAGGATTCATGTTGGTTCAATAACGCAGCCTCTCCCATTAAAAACACCTCGTCTTCGTCCTCTTCCTCGTCCATGCCTACGTTGTCATAGTGCGTCTCTCCTCCACCTCTCGCAATTGAGTCTAATAGATAGACACCCGTAAATATAATGATGAATCCACAGATCAAGGATGCCACATTGATTGGGTTGTCTGTATTAAATCCGTGAAATAGAATGGCGGAAGCTATAATTGTAGCTGTTGTAAAACAAACAAAGTAGATTGGATTGACACTTTTGGAATATGAAAAAAAAAAAAATTTATAAATGTTTGTAATCAAAAGAGATATTTTTACTTACACATTGGTCGAAAATTGTTCGAGAGCCTTGTTGAAATAGTTCATTTGCACCACGATACAGATAGCCACAATCAAGCCAAAAGCATAGGTAGAAGGGTGCGTCAATTGATTATGGCCAGCCAAAGTCAATTTTAAGGCAATACCAAATGCTTTAATAGCCATCACAGAGATGGATCCGACCAATGAACAAATGGAGATGTAAACAAACGGATTTTTGGTACCATACAGAGGTACCACCTTATAAATCATAAAGAAGCTGACACCAAGTACAATAACACAGTACGTGACAAAACCTTTTTTTTTTTTTTTTGTATTTAATAAAACAACAAACCTTTTTTACTTATAATTCGCATACGGTACCTGGTTGCAAAGCGTAAAATAATAGCTCGTCAATGGAAGTGACATCTTTATCCTCTGGCGCATGCAAAACTACAATAAATGCGCCGACCACAGATAATAAACATCCAATCTTTCCAATCGATCCTAGCTTTTCATTCAGGAACAAAGATGCAAATATCGCTCTAGTAATATATGGTCATTAGGCACAAGTGTTTTAGTGTCTATGTATGGTTTGACGTTACCCAAGTATCACGCTTAATGCTCCCAAAGGAGTTACCAGTATGGGTGGTGCAAAAGAATATGCCGAAAAGTTGAGAATTTCACCAACTGCCACTATAATCACATAATGCTATCAGTACCAATAAAATAAAACATAACAAAGCACTTAGTTTTACTTGTTCCTATGCCAGCCCACCAAGTCCAGTTCCTCAAATAATGGTACTTTCCATCCGTTGCTGATACCCCTTTTTTAAAAATTTGTGTGTGAGTAGACATAAACAGAAAGATTCGATATAGGTTTTTACCGTGTCTTTTCTTTGAACTTACTAGTCCCTTCTTGGTAATGACAAAGGAAAGTCCAATAAATACACTGGAGCTCATGGCTAAGATGAGTCCAATGTATTTTTCTTGCAACATTAGTTAAAAAGATATATATAAAAAAAGAAGGGAGTGAAATTAAAAAAAAAAAAAGAGAAAATAAACTTAGTTGGGCGCTTTTTTGTCCTACTACTCCTGGATCCAAAAAAAAAAAAAAAAAAAAAAAAAAAAAAAACCAGTAACCACTCGTTCGATTTAATTCTTACAGAAAGTGCATACCTCGGTTTTGGAGTCACGTGTATTACTGCATAATTCTCTGTTTATTATCATGGTACAACCTGCATCATGAATGTTAATAATTGTGTGGCAGCTTATAGTTAAGCGAGAACTTGTCAGGTCTATCTGCTTTTTTTTTAGAAATGTCAAAACATAGATATATATTTACATTAACATAGAGATACTTTTTTCGGTTGTACTTTAGTAAGTTATTATACATCAGTTACAATTTGCAATTATTGTAACTATATCTTCAAGGTAATAAGGGTATATACTATACTCTCTGCGTAAAAATCAACATTAGGATATAAATGACAGCATTGCATGCCTCAGTAACTTTTTCTTTTTATTTGTAACATTGTTTAAACGCTTCATAGTACGGTCTACACCTACCGATAGAATTCTCGTTGTTTTGACCACTAAATTTTTTTGTTCGGCTTTTATCGCGGCTACTAATAAAAATTTAAATGTTTGTCTTTACAAACAATTGGCACGTATTTCCTATGATAATCTTAGCAAGACAAGATTGCATTATATACGTATTATCCGCAAGTTACTTTCGCTAAACGCTTTTCTTAGGGACAGCCAAATTTTCCTTAGGGACAGCCAAAGTGCACGTAGTCGCAACGTAAGATCTGTGATTTGGATGTTCTGTAGACCTGGGAACAAGGATATTCAATCAAAAACAATGTAACAATTACTATTAAACGATTTATACTTATTTTGGCAATTATATCATCACTCTTTCGCCTTTGAGCTCCTTTGATCATGATCTTACGCAGAAATATTAAGGTTAAGTCCAAAGGAGAAGCTGAAAGTAAGCTGTAAAACACATATACTGGTTTAAACTATGTTGGTTGTAATAAATGTGTATATATTCCAAGTTGTTAAGTTATATTGACCTCTTGATGTCTATAAAAGTATCATAATATCAACATTACGACTACGCGCACCCTGGCTGTCCCTAAGAAAAATGGCTGTCCCTAAGAAAATTTGGCTGTCCCTAAGAGACCCGTTCACTACATATCAAAAAGAGTCGTTTAGTTCCGATTACAGGAATCATGTCCCTGTCAGACATTACTATTGTTACAACGAGTTTCATGACATTATAAGATGATTGAACTCAGCTTTTATTACATAATTCTGGCGAAATATGAGGACGCCCAAGTTTCAGATTCTATGTGTTTTAGATATTACGGGCGCTCTTGTTTGTTAAAATAACACTTGATATGCTCGATTGTAACCACGACATTATGTAATTGCCGAAAGAAACCAAGAAATAATACTTCTGCATAATGTTTTTTTAAAAAATATCGGCAAGTTGAGCCGAGAATAATTTCAATATAAAAGTCTCATATGCGCATAAACAGGGCGAGTTTATGTGTACTAACTCACCGAAACAGGATAAGCTACAAGTGAATAAAGACAGAAGTTTTTTTCTCTGTTTCTTTTTAGCTCTTGCGAATGATTTTTGGACTTCCCTTTTAATGACCACGTTGTCATAGGGAAAGATCATCATTGATTAAACAAAACAAACAAAAAAAACTGGTTTCTTGTATCCACCTCCATCCGAATTCAACTCAAGATTTGTTTCATAAGCCGTCACATAACGCGTTTCAAAAAAATAAAATAAATAAAAACGCGAGTAGAGAGAGAGACCGATTTTTATTTTCTTGTTTTTCTTTTAACCTTCTTCTCATTTCAATAACATGCCCTACTCGGATCGTACACAGGGCCATGTCGATGGCCTGGAGGATATATCACGGCCCGTAGAACCCGACCATTCTGAATCAGAAGATGAGACCGGACTCGATCATGACAAATATGCGTCGATGAACATTCCTGAGAGCATGAAGAATATTTTACGCATGACTTCCGACGGGAAAGATTTCGAGCCAACACAAGACGATTCGGAATCAGACAACGATTCCATGTACAAGACAGCCACCCCTCTCGCCAGTCTAAACCACGATATCTCCAAAAACAAATTTGTAAACTTTCCACATATGCCCGAACCACAAGACGAACAGGCACAGCCAACAACGAAAGCGAAAAAATCCAAGGAAAAGAAGAAGAGGAGAGACAAGGGGAAGAAACGTGCGGAGGAAGAAACACCCAGAGAGACCGATGCATTACAAGCCAACTTTGCAAAGTTTGCTGCTGAAGAGTCAGACGATGAGGAGGAGATCAGGCCGAGAAAGAAGAAGACAAAGGGAAGAAGAACACGAAAGGATACATCACATATCAACAAGGTGGATGAAAACGGTGAGCGATTAGTTAGAACGACCGAGTTTTTGGATACCGACTCAGACGCCTCCAGTGACGGAGGTCGTCCACTGACTAAGAAGCAAGAATTGGAAATGTACAGAGAAGCGGAACGTGTCAGAAGATCCAAATATGTCCCAATGAAGATCACCTACAATATTAAAACCTATGAAGATCTCGTAAAGCGCCACGATGAACACGAAAGAATTAGATTAGAGCGTCTCGAAATGGAAGAACGAAAATTACCTCCACGACCACGACCAGCACCACCAGCGAGATCTATTCTGCCGCGTCAAGATGACTCAAGTGACGACGGTCTCATCATCATAAACAAGCCAACCACCATCACATCACCCGATCGTATTCGTAATCCCAGCATCAATTGGAGTCCCATGGACACTGCTGCCAGATCACGTCGAGCTCACAATCAGTCGTTATTGACTCGTATGGCCGAAGAAGGCTATGCCCATCGCATTAAAATGGAAGAACAAGCTAAAGCCCGTGGTACATATTCTTCTGCGACTGAACGAGCTAAAAAGTTGCTAGAGAAGGAGGAAAATGCAAGGATGATCAAAGCTCAGATTGAAATGCACTTTAATCGAAATAAGCAGAAGCACCATAACGATGACGACGATAAGGAACTGGATGCTGATTATCGCGATAGCAATGACGAGGAAGAGGCAAATTACTTACAACAATTATCCGGTCAGGATGAAGATGATGATGCGGAAGAGGATATATCCACTAAAAGAAAAGCTGAGGAGGAAGAATCTGACGAAGATGAGGATGACGATATGGGCACCATGGCAATGAACAGATGGAAGAATAAAAAGACCAAGCGATCCATTTTCGAAGATAGCGATGATGACGAGGAAGCTGAAAAGAAGAAGAAGGTCTCCTCCACTCCTACCCCTGCCCATTCTATATCCAACTTTTTCAAAGCAAAGGTAAAACAATAAGCATGCAGAATAAGATCTTAGACTTATACTTACCAAATATCTAAAATAGGACACTGAGCCCACTCAATCAGCTGAGCCTACAGAAGAAAAACCTTTGAGTAGACTCAAGAGACGTCCCATCCAAGAAAGAGACGATGCTATGGAGATTGACGAACCTGTCGCTGCTGCACCCAAGATCCGTAAACAAAGACAAGAACCAACAGAGCCTGCAGAGAAGAGCGAATTTTTTGAGGAGGAAGCAGAGGAAGAAGATGACGAATTCTTTGGTGCGGGTGGTGAAGATATTGATACTGGTGAAAATCTCGATGAATTTGAGGAGGATGATTTATTGGTCCATGAAAATAATGAACATGTCGACGAAGCCACTGTACGAGACGCATTCAAGTAAGACTATCGATTGATTTTTCAGTCTTTATTTTTCTAACTTTTTGATTTTAGTAAACAAGATGCCGAAAATGACAGTAATATGATTCAAAGATTGCTTAAAGATGTTACTGGAGGTGGTCTGCGTAAACAAAAGGCTGCTGCAGAAGCTGGTATTCTCTTGGAGGACATTGATCTTTACGATGATGAGGACAATGATCTTATTGCAGTTCGTTTGGCTGCTGCTGAAAGAAGACGCAAACTTTTGAAGAAGAAGGGAGAAGATCCAATCATGAGCCTATGTAAGATAAAAAACTTTTTTTTATATACTCTTTCTCAATGTTTTTTCCATTCAGTGAACGATCCGAAAACATCAGCATTTGCCAAAGCATCACTACCTATACCAGATGATACTAAGACGTCTTTCTTAAGTGATTTCGAAGATGACGACGAAGACATCCAAACCGCACCACCAAGTAGCACACGATACAAGCTTGTAATTAAAGATGATGATGACGAAGAAGAAGAGGAAGATGATTTAATGGGTGTATTCTCTGATGAGGAAAATCTGATTATCGAGGTGAGTTTTGCAAGCATCTGTTGTTTTATATCCAATTACTAAAATCATGTGAATAGGATGCGGACCCCATGGCATCACCATTGAGAGGAGGACTTGTAAATAACATGACATTAGCTAGTGTAGATGATGACGATGAGGGATTCCAAATTGAAACTATGAAGAGCATTCATTCACCTCTGAATAATCGCAGAACTAAATCCATGTTTGATTCTCCTACGAATCTTAACAGATTCAAACGTCTTTTATCAGAAACCAACAATAATACGTCAGATACACCTCGCGTTGGATTCGGAGCTATTGCTGGTCCAAAGCCAACCAAGCCTGAAGAAGAAACACCAAAGACATTAGGAAGTATTGGCGGGTTCCTCAAGCATGGTGGTGCTAATACCCCAAAGAAATCAAAACTCGGCTCATTATTGAAGAAAACCAACCCTTTTACTTATGTAGACAAATAGTCTCATTCATTCTCTTGTTTTTCAATTTTTTTTTTATTATTATCATTAAAGTTCAATGTCATAACTTAATTTATTAATGGTATCTGGGTCCAAGGAAGTGACTTGGAAACAACTTGAGTATAGTAAAGCATCTCCCGATTCATCAAATGAATATCGCTTTGCCAAATTTTGAAATACAAGTACACGTTTAATCACAGTCGCTGTGATCCGATGTTTCCGAAAGTGTATTAATGGCTGTGAAAGAAGTTGATCCATCGTACCTTGACGTTTTGTTCGTATATTGTTATTGGTCGATGGTAAGTAAGAAGGAAGTTCAGCGTTAAACACAAGGTCCGACAGGTAGATCCCCAAGAACGGGATACATCCTCCAAACGGCAATTTGATGGTAACACCAGGCTTCTTTTTCTTCTTTTTGTTGGTTTCTGGCACCTGCACTTGAATTTCCGTGGGCGATTCTCCATACTCTTCTGCTACTTTAGTCATACTATCTCGAATGTTCTTCCAGTTCTTCGTAGGTGAGGTAAATGTTGAAAGCTCCTGTAATATCTTCATTTCTCGTTTCTTGACTAAACTCCAGGTTTTTTCTAACCTTGATACCGAGGATGACTGTAAACCCAAGAGGATTTGAATCAATGTAGTAAAGTTACAAATGTTTTTGCATTTCTAATTTTTTTTTTAAAAAAAATAGTAAGGTATTAGTATCATGGTTTTTTCTATCTCACGAAGAGTGTCACTTACTTTGGCCAGACGAATAAACTTTTCAATGAGTTTGACACGATCATCCATCTGTCTTGTCTGAACAATCTCACTGGATACCCATTGACATACGGCATTAAATCGATTAATGACCTTTTCAATACCCCTCTGGGATCCATCTGTATCTTTCTCTTCTTGCTGCTTCATCCTCTTTTGACGTGAGTACATGCCTGGCTGTGGTGGTTGTGTACCACTCGACACAGGACCACCGCTACTGTCATCATTGACACTGCTACTGGCACTTTGAAGATGGCTTATATCCGAATTCGGGTGATATAAGGTAGAGCTTGGCATCTTTGTCCATTTACAGTCAACCAGTTCTTCCCAATTTACGGCTAGTAAGATCGCCTTTTCAATCAAACAAAATTGCTCTGCCATCACAGAAGTAGAGTAACTGAGCACAATCGACTTTCGCTCTTGTGCTTTGATGTAAAGAGGTAAAGGAGGCGTAGGATGGTGGTTATGAGAGATGTCAATCTCTAAAATTCTAGACCTTGGGGTATGGCTTGTATTCTAATATAACGTGGGCTTTTAAAAAGGGTGGACTAAAAAGAATGTATTATAATTACTTAAGATTACCTCAGTCAAATTTGAATCGGTGCGTCTTAATTCGGACGTACAAGAGGCCGTTTGTTGTTTATGGCTACTATGAATGGATAATCTCCAAGACTCTGCGCCATCCTCCTCGTTTCTGATAGAAGGAGTCCTTGGTAATTGCTTGGATTTTGCATAAGAAGCAATGGAAGAACACGATGTAATCATGGGATCATTTAAAGACGGCAAAGGTTTCTTTTTCGGATCATACAAGATTTTACTAGAGCGTTGAGACAATAATGTCTTGTCTTCAGGGTGATGTGACAGAAAATGATAGCGCTGTTGTTGTTGCAAGCAGTCATTCGAAGGGGTAACAATTTCTGATTCAGTTACCGAAGGATATGCCATGGAATTATAAGAAGTTGAAGCAATTAAATTATTTTCGTCCGTATCAAAATAAGAGATGACGGCCGTCGGGTAATAGATATCTGGTGTAGAAACTGTAGATGGTATGGCTAATTGTGCGTTGTAGAAGGATCGTGTACGTACATCGCCATTGTCACTCCAATTCGACTGATGGAGTGACCCTCCCGCTGTTATAGAAGATGGGTTATCTCTGTAAGCAGACAGAAAGAATTCTGCTCGGTTACGTTCGTCGTCCTCTTCTTGTTGTTGTCGAAGCCGTTCCAACTTTTCCGATAGTTCATCACTTGTAATTTGAGTTGTACTCGCGGTGGGTTTGCTGCTAAAGCTTTTTTGGGTTTCGTCTTCGTCAAACTCTGATAAATCATCTTCTTCATCCTCCGAGGTACCTGGGGAAAGTGCGCTTTCAAGCGAATTGTCTGATAAATTACGCTGGCTGTAATCGGATGGATGACTGATTTTTGCCCATTCTAAAGAAGCACTGGTGGATTCATTTTCGTGTGATTTACTCAGATGTGCAGATGAAGCAGATGATCCTCGTCTTCTGGTAGGGTAGTTGCCGATAACAACAACAGGAGCAGCATGCGCACTTTTGATTGCGGTATTGCTACTATGTCGAGTATCCACATGAATACCGTCCACGATATTGAATGTCTTTTGCTTGATCGTACTTTGGGCCAACTTATCCTTCACCATGGCCATAACTTTTTCTTGCTCAAAAGTAGGAGGAGGGGGTTGGATCACTTGCACTTTCTTACCAGAAGATGAGGAAGCATAGTATATCTTTTTTAGTCTTCGTACAACACGTTTTAACCCCTTGATAATGCGTTGATCTCTGGGAGATTGTTTGATCAGTGGATGGTATGGCATTGCATTCAAAAAACTAGTCAACGCAATGCGAAGTTCTCGACTAGGTATAAAGTCATGTAAAAAGTAGTTGAGTAGCCAATGTCGCATGACAACAAATGTTCTATTGTAATATTTAATTAAAAAGATGAACATGCAGTATTGTTTTTTATATGTACCTTATTCTAACAATACATCGTTCTTCCTCGTTGTTCTCTATGCTCCATCTAAACCGAGTGATCAAGAATTTGCATAGCTGCAGAGGTGACATGAACACCCGAAATATCAGAAAAAAGTCTGTCATAAAAGTGTAGTCTATAATGGCAAGTTGAGTTAGATGATGTTTATCATTCTGGTTGCCATATACCTAAATACATTACCCAAAGATATTGTGAGTTTCTCAACAAGTTTTTCAATGGTAGCAGCCTCAATCACGCGACTTTCTTCTGCGGTTGATAACATAATGGGTAAAGAGTTATTGTAAAACGTAGGGCTCTTTTTTTTAAAACTATCTGATATAAATTGATGAGCAGACCATCTTGACTTCTTCTTCTTTGTGTCATCTTCCTCCGTCTCGTCTTGTTGTTTGGGAGCAGTGGGTGGAATTGTATTGTTTGTTTTTTGAATAGTTCCCCACAAAATAAAGTTTGGGTTTTCATCTGATTTTATAAGATCAAACAGAGTAAGAGGATAATCCGAAAGATCAGCAGGTGGTGATATCTGAAAACTGTTACTGTTGTATTCAACTTTACTAGTATTGTTGGTCAGTTCCTGTGTATGTTGCTGCTTGTTATTCATATCGGTGGTGGTGGTAGTGGTTGGATTGACTTGCGACCATATATCACCAAATTCACTTACAGCTGGTATGATGGGTAAGATCTTATTGGTGGAAGGTTGTACATGACGACTGCTACTGCTGGTGTAACTACGCTTGCTTAGGCTTCGTTGAACAGGTTTCGTACTTGTCGTCGCAGAGTTGTCATCATAATAGTCTTCCTCCGAGTTCCAAAATATTTTGGATTCGGTGTATTCCCTCACGCCAAAAACAGTGGCTAAAGCTGCTCGTTCCATGCCTCCATCACTCGTATCGTTTCGAAACTCGTAGGGTATAATCGAATTGTTTCTCTTTCTTGTAGTCGTGCTTGTGGAGGTGGTGATCTCTGACATGATTCTTTAATTATTTAGTGATATTAGTATTAGGTATTAAAGTTGAAATATAGGAGGTATTTGGAAAGGAAATAATAAGAAGAAAAAAAAAGGGAAAGAAGAAAAGGAAAATAAAAGAAATAAAAGGCTGAAGATATATGCAGATTAAGGGGGTGATGAAAGCGCACTTTATTATGATCACGTGGATAACTAAGTGGAATAATCCCATCTGCTGGCAATCTTGGACAAAACATTCGAGAAAGATGGCCATCTATCGATTGAGTTGGATGATTTTAACGTTTCAGGATCAACTGAATTAACCTAAAAAAAATTGCTTAAAAAAAATAATCTATTTTTAAGACTTGTCAAACTTACAATCATTTCGGTTCTGCCAACTCGTTTATCTTGTTGTTGGATATAATTTATACCAACAAGCCCTGTGTCAAGCATAAATCTCTTCTTATTCAAAAATGTAATATCAGAAAGAATCATACTGGATTCATCATTTATCACATGGCCTTTGGGTGCTTTTAATTCAGAATAGCTGCAGGGATCAAGCAATATATCTATTAGGTTCATGTTGTACTACAGGACAAGAAATAAGACTTTACCTGGTTAGTTCACATTTGTCACTGAAATACGTTGTAAGTTCTTCATTGTCTGAGAAATCAATGGCTTGCTTTGCCAATAAACGAATATCCACACTTCTATATATAAACTCCATTCGTTAGCCTAGTCTGTAATTTATAGATACAAGTTTTTAATTTTTTTACCCGTAAATACCCAGAATATCAACGACAGATTGATTCTTGATGCCGGTTATATTTTTCAGCGTGATATCACCGTTCTCGTTTATAATAAATTCAACATGGAGTTTCTTTAAATCCATTTCTTTATCACCTTCTAAAAGTGACTTATTGGTGTAACTTAACTGCACAGATCTTTGGTGAAATCCACCGTCTAAAGTCATTGGTATGAAAGGTGAAGTCAATTGACGAGGAGGCATTCTATCAGTTATAGTTAGCATATCATAAGGTCACATCCATTATAATGTAATCTTACGTAGGAAAGAACAAGGTTCTATTTTTATACAGATTTAAAACTTCAGTCGTACTAATTTTCTTGGTAATATTTGCATTTTGGAATAAGAGATGACCGAATCTAAAATAGGACTTGGATGATTAAATTGAAAATGAACATGAAGAACAAAAAAAAACAATTTACCTTGCCTCCATAGTAACCTGATCTAAATCTTGCTCTCCCAACGGCTTCAGCAAGAGTTGTTTCATGTCTTGTAAATTCGCAATTCTGTGGTTATGTCAGTAAAAGCCAACTAGATGCTTCGGGTTGCACGTGCTACACTTACTTTTCTTCGCCACCAAGCACTTTAAATCCACCCACCTCTTTATCTCCCTCCAGTCTGCTCCAGTTTAATTTTTTATCATAGAATGTCATGGAAGTTGGGTCATGAAGCGGTAATACTGTAAACTCTGCATTATCATGTACTACTGTCTTGTTCGATAAATCACTGGTCGCATCCAACTAAAAGCAAGATTCCATTTTAGCATGCATTAATCTATCAATCATTGTAAGAAAAAATCGCCATTTACCTCTTTAAGCATTAGACTCAATAAACGTTTGGCGTTTTCCATTGCATCATCAGATATACTTGCCAAAATAAACTATAACTTATACTATTAGACTTGGTGCCTAAACTAAGCACACACGCCTTTAAAAAAATTACCTTGTTATCGTCCATAGTTATAAAAGTGCCAGCCACCTTGGAAATATCCACCAACGAGTTTGATATTTCCGTTTTTAAATTCGAGTTCTCGACAACGCTTGTTGGAATGTCCATTGTATCCTCTTTTATATTCAAATGGGTCAAGATCTCTCTTTTTGCCTTCACAACAGCAGCAGAGGGGCCTTCCACAATATACTGATTCGATTGCACATCGATGGTGACCTTCACTTGATTCTCTTGTTCGATATTTCGAATGGTGCTCCCGTTATCACCAATGATAAAGAACAGCTCTTGTCGAGAGGCAGGAAAGGTTTGTTTGATTATATCTAATTGACGCTTCATTTCTTCTTCTTTCAGTTGTTGTGCTGTTTTGATACCCCAATGTTTTTCGATAATGCTATTGATCAATTGGCCCTTCTTTAATCCTTTACGCTTCAATTTATGTGCAATCACGATGGTAGCTAACTGATCAACAGTGTATGCATTGTGCAATTGAGTGCGCAACTTGTCCATGTTTTTTTGACTGATGACTGGACTACGAGGCTTAAATTTTTCCACTGAGTAAAGCAATGTTGTGCGTGGATCAATGTCAGTGGGATCCGATTGAACAAGTGGTTTTTCAAATTCGGCAATAATATCTTCAATACGTTGAGTTGAAAACTTGGGCCTTTCCTCCTCTTCCTCTGCAAAGTAGTGCTTAGAAACGGAAAAACATCTTTGCGAGTTCACTCGAACAGTAGGTCTTGCGCAGGCCTTGAGCAAGTTTCTTTTTAAAATATTTGACATATTTGACAAAAAGGTCTAGTTAATAAAAAAAATGCTGCCGTATAAAAAAATGTTTTTTTCAGCAAGCCAGGGTATAAAAGGAAGGGTGCATGTAGATGTCTGGAACTATTATATTCTGCCTTTTTTTAGATGAGCTCAGGGTTTACGGTCGTATCTACAGTCTGCTTACTAAAGTATTCTAAATAATGCTTAATTGAAGATTCTTTAAACCAACACAGAACAGAAAGGGGCGCAGAAATGTTTGAGATTGTTGTGCTTTGTTAGAACTCAATTATACTTTATTGGAGTCTACCGGTAAATACACGATTTTTGTTGTGCATGTCAGCATTGTTTGATCCCATTTATGAAGTTGAAATCATTTTTTTTTTGTGTAATTGACACCGGTAAAAAATACAGCAAAGAAAATAATTTATAAGACTAATTATTAACCGAATTGCAAAATACTTTTGTCGTATTTGGGTACGATTCACTTAAGAATAAATAAGCAAATTGTTTAAATAAATAAATTTTGAAATCAAACAAACTTTGATGCTGCATATCAGCATACACTTGTATACTCCTGTTCAACTTCTCCTACTACGAGTACATACTTCTATATTAAAGATTGCATGATTGGCCTAAATACAATAAATGCGAATGACAGTTCGATACAGAATGCTATACCACTGAGGTACGGTATCACTGATCGAAAAGAGATTCCTCTCAGATCAAATCAAGAATTATAAGAAAGAGAAACGTAATGTTAATAGTTCTCTCAATAGATTATCTACCCATGGAGAGAATAGAACGACTATTAATATAAATGGTTCATTTACGTATATATCGATATAATTATACAGCTGGTAAAGTGTATAAAGAAATAGTGTATGAAGTAATGGGTGCCTACTTTCTACAACGAAATAGCCAAATCTCGATAAGACATTCTATATTTGGGATCGTATTTTATTCATTACAAATTTAATGCATAAATATCAACTATAACTGTTTGAGATGGAGATAAAATATAAATTAGGGTAACAAAAGAAAATACTGTTAGAACTATGTATATCTTTTATCAAAGCCATTAACGCACGCCCGTTAAAATTTCCTTTTTGGGATCTCCACGCCCGTGACCCGACTCTTGTAGCTGAGAATAATCTCAACGCCCGTAATATCTCCACGCCCGTTATATTTTCACGCCCGTACATAATATCTCCACGCCCGTAATTTTCAAGCGCTAATATCAGACCCATATAGACTGGGATCTTGTATCTGAGCCGCATAACATGCACTAAAAAGCTCCAAATATCAGAAATTAAGCGGCAGAGAAGTACTTGTCTTTTTTTTCTGCCCTAGGAATCGAAAAGTCTTAAATATTAAGTGGGTGACTGACTGACTGAGAATCGAAAAATCTTAGAAATTAAGTGGGTTCTTGACTGGAAATCGAAAAGTCTTACAAATTAAGTGGAAATCAACTTAGTAAAAAAAAAGATAGAAAGTAGTTTTTATTCTGTATTTGAAGTTGGAGAAGGAACTAAAGGTTCAACCAAGAGGCTAAGAAAAGAGATGCAATTTGATCTCACACTGGCGTATGTGTAATCATTCGCAGCAAAACAACGATGAAGAAGCTTTATAATCAGCTTAGCCATTATAATTCTACGGCATGTTCCGAGGTTGTTACTTTTTGTGAAAAGGAGTTTTTTTAATTCATCCTTGTGCTTTTCGTTTGATTCCCCTACAGCTAATGTTTCAGGCATATCTTCCACATCAATACCGACAAGCATTGGCACGACACGTTTTGCATCGTAATCCTTCTTGACGTTGGAAGGAATAAACAGGTGCAAAAAATCTAATATTATTGTGATAGTGGCAATACGGCTATGGTACGTATCAAGTACGTCTGTATAACGGGTAATAAGCTTATATTGCACTTCTTTGTACTCATAATAATTAGTGGAATGAAATTTGCGGGTATCCTTGATCATTTTTAATTTATCGCATGTCAATTTGGAAAACTCCTCGTCAAAATCCTCAAAGAGTTAATCCAATATATGAGCACGCGTAACAGTTACTGCTTCATTCAACATCTTTTGGTGGTATTATCTAATTACGAAGTTGAGTTGCTGTCATAGTGGATTACGGGGTGAGGATTGAATTTTTGGTGGGCAGTCAGTTTGCAACGCCCGTATATTTCATAGTCCGATGGCAGAGTCGGGTTACGGGCGTGGTGATCCCAAAAAGGAAAAATTACGGGTGTGGAATAAGTTTTTTGATCTTTTATTTCGAGAAAAATTAGATTAGGGAATTCTACTAAAAAAAACTACTGGTATTCATACTAAAAGATTAGATCGCTTTCGGATAATATATGTGACGCTCTAAAGGAATATGATAGAATGCTATACGTAATATCTGTTTGTATAAATATGTTATGAAGTAATTCCTGCCTAACAAAGTAAAGGCAAAATAAGTGAGGATCTAAATTCATCTCCGCAGATGCCATTACGTAAAAGCTTTTCTTAGGGACAGCCAAAGTGCACGTAGTCATGATCTAGGTACCTTTTGGCTGTCCCTGAGGCACCATAAATTGTCAAAATAGAACAACTTCTTCTTTTCTCTTGATATTGAAATGAATGCCGACTTACAATTTTTGAAGTGTCTGCTCCTTTGCCAATATAACTACCAAATGCCACCAAGTAATCATTGTAAATTTTATTAAAAACTATGCCCTCCAACTCAATTTTGAATTGCTTTTCAGATACTAAAATTATTTTTTAAATGTTAGAGACGATGTTCATAGCAATACTAGTACATTAGCCAAAGCTAATCGACAACGTCAAAAGAACATTTGCGAATGTAATAGCCCTTATTATATTATAAGTTTTTTTTCCCCTAAACTAAACCTATCGAGAATGCACCTTCACCACCGCAGTACAGATAATAATAATTTGAGCAGTGATGTAAACAAAAATTAGCTCGTGTCTACCTTTTTAAAAGTGTATCGATAAGGATAAATCCAAAGGATCACAAAACTAAAATAAACAAAAGCTTGGGGACGGGTTTTATGAGCCGGCGAAAATAGTTCTAAATGACTGTCTCAAATGTGAATGATTGATGCAATTCAACAAGTAGTATATAATAAAAAGTACTGTATATGGCATACTTCGAATAGTGTTAGACCCATGAAATAAATCAACTCTTTGGTACCACCAAAAAGGTACCCGATCCTAAGTGACCCAATTCTTGATTTTTTATAAGCATTGTGGCAAGTACTTTTTAGAAAGCCAAAAAAAAACGCGTTGGCTGATATTTTCTCTTGTTGCTGTATATACAGAAACTTAGAAGTTGTTTTGCATGGAGAACAAAATTAAAATAAACCAAAAAGTGATACTGTTAGAACTTGGATACCACTTTATTATGGACGAAAAAATATAACTAAAAAACGTATCAAAAATGTATTCCAAAATGTCTTCCTGGTCTATGAGAAAAAACTATGGGTATTTATATAAAGAACTGGGATAGTTCTAGGGAGAATATTAAGCGCCTTATTGGATCAAAATGTAATAATCTGGTGATAGTAAATAATCAACATGTCTTTAAATTTAGCCCTTCCATACTGAGTATATAAATATTAGTCAGAGGGATCAACAGTTATAACATCAAATGACAAGAGTAATATTTGTGCTCAGGATCTATTAATATTCTATAGTCCAGGCCCATTCGATTGTATTGCTTTTGCCCTGTGTACAGACTCCAACGGTAGGATGAGAACAAGCGGGATAATGTGCGATTCATGATTAACTTTAATATTTATTATCTATCCTTAATGTGATGTGACAATTAACTTTATTATTATATCTATGATATCCTCAACCGAAGTGACTGTACCTGCGTCTATAATTGAGTTTCCCCCCTTTTGTTTTTAGTATTTTGGGTGTGTGATGGACGGTAAAATATGAATTATGAATTTCATTTACATGGAGAAATGGGCTCTTTTCCTTTATACGGCTATTCATGAAAAGGGGTTATATGCTAAAAACCACTATTGGTGCGGATCCAATAGTAAAAATAATTTATTAAATACGCATTTTTACACTCAAAAAAAATTGAGGGGGGGGGGTGGTATAATAATAGACACAAGCTCATAAGATTTGTTCAACTCGTACCGCTTATTTACGAGAATCTGGTTTCGCTTAACAACTTTTAATGTCTTTCTGTGATAAAAACCCATTTGTGTGTTCAAAGGGTACACTGCAAATATTTAAATCCATTTCCTGTTTGTTAAGGGAACATGACCAGCTTACTATGCTTCCACCAGCTTTTTTTGAAGTTAGATTGGCCAGAAAAAAAAACTTGATTCGACCTACTTTTTATAAATTGAATGGCCAAACGAATGGTAGAACCAATGTTTTTAAAATCATTTATTAATGACTCTAGTAACCAAACATTGGTAGGATGCTGGATAAAGTTTTGTGGATGTTCGATAGAATTAGCATTGCAATATGGGTTATCAAATTCGTCTGTTTGACGATCAATTCCTAAAAAGGCATGACTTAACCCGATTTTGATTACAGACATCTTTTTACTTTTTCACATTCTGATTAATGACGTTTGCAGCTTTGGTCGTTTCAAAAGGTTCCACGAGCTTTTCTTGAGAAAAAGGAAATAGCAAAACTGCTCTTGGTCCGTGTAGTAGTTGTTAACCGTTGGGTGTTTTTTTCCTAGAGTCTGTCTGTCAAATGCCTTGGGTTCATCTTTTAGAGATTACGTTTTTATTTTCTATCTAATTCTACGTTGTCATACGAAATGAAGGTTCTACCATAACAGTAGATGTTTTTTTTCTAGATGAATCTACGCTCTACCTCTACCACCTTCTTAAAACTATCCTCGTCAAATAGATAGATTTTACAAAAAAATTGGAAAAGCTGGTTGTACTATTTGTAGAAAGTAGGTGACGTTTTTCAAAAATTGGGGAAAAATATTTTTTGAGCCATTCTAACTTCCAATAACAACGTAATTTTCTTCATGTAGTGTGCGAAGGTGTTCCCTTGGAAT